CCACCAGACACTCACCACGTGACACTCACCACCAGACACTCACCACCAGACACTCACCACGTGACACTCACCACCAGACACTCACCACCAGACACTCACCACGTGACACTCACCACCAGACACTCACCACCAGACACTCACCACGTGACACTTACCACCAGACACTCACCACCAGACACTCACCACGTGACACTTCACCACCAGACACTCACCACCAGACACTCACCACGTGACACTCACCACCAGACACTCACCACCAGACACTCACCACGTGACACTCACCACCAGACACTCACCACCAGACACTCACCACGTGACACTCACCACCAGACACTCACCACCAGACACTCACCACGTGACACTCACCACCAGACACTCACCACCAGACACTCACCACGTGACACTCACCACCAGACACTCACCACCAGACACTCACCACGTGACACTCACCACCAGACACTCACCACCAGACACTCACCACGTGACACTCACCACCAGACACTCACCACCAGACACTCACCACGTGACACTCACCACCAGACACTCACCACCAGACACTCACCACGTGACACTCACCACCAGACACTCACCACCAGACACTCACCACCAGACTCACCACCAGACTCACCACCAGACTCACCACCAGACTCACCACCAGACTCACCACCAGACACTCACCACGTGACACTCACCACCAGACACTCACCACCAGACACTCACCACGTGACACTCACCACCAGACACTCACCACCAGACACTCACCACGGGACACTCACCACCAGACACTCACCACGTGACACTCACCACCAGACGGACGTCACTCGAGGCTCGCCATTCGCCATCGAGTCCATCACTCTCCGCTCAAAAGAGACGGCACCCACCTACCTGGTGAGCGTCTCCTGAGTGGTGAGTGGTGAGTTTGTGGTGAGCGTCTCCTGGGTGGTGATTGGTGTGTTTGTGGTGAGCGTCTCCTGAGTGGTGAGTGGTGAGTTTGTGGTGAGCGTCTCCTGAGTGGTGAGTGGTGTGTTTGTGGTGAGCGTCTCCTGAGTGGTGAGTGGTGAGTTTGTGGTGAGCGTCTCCTGAGTGGTGAGTGGTGAGTTTGTGGTGAGCGTCTCCTGGGTGGAGAGTGGTGAGTTTGTGGTGAGCGTCTCCTGAGTGGTGAGTGGTGAGTTTGTGGTGAGCGTCTCCTGAGTGGTGAGTGGTGAGTTTGTGGTGAGCGTCTCCTGGGTGGTCAGTGGTGAGTTTGTGGTGAGCGTCTCCTGAGGTGGTGAGTGGTGAGTTTGTGGTGAGCGTCTCCTGAGTGGTGAGTGGTGAGTTTGTGGTGAGCGTCTCCTGGGTGGTGAGTGGTGAGTTTGTGGTGAGGGTCTCCTGAGTGGTGAGTGGTGAGTTTGTGGTGAGCGTCTCCTGGGTGGTCAGTGGTGAGTTTGTGGTGAGCGTCTCCTGAGTGGTGAGTGGTGAGTTTGTGGTGAGCGTCTCCTGAGTGGTGAGTGGTGAGTTTGTGGTGAGCGTCTCCTGGGTGGTGAGTGGTGAGTTTGTGGTGAGGGTCTCCTGAGTGGTGAGTGGTGAGTTTGTGGTGAGCGTCTCCTGAGTGGTGAGTGGTGAGTTTGTGGTGAGCGTCTCCTGAGTGGTGAGTGGTGAGTTTGTGGTGAGCGTCTCCTGAGTGGTGAGTGGTGGATTTGTGGTGAGGGTCTCCTGGGTGGTGAGTGGTGAGTTTGTGGTGAGGGTCTCCTGAGTGGTGAGTGGTGGGTTTGTGGTGAGGGTCTCCTGGGTGGTGAGTGGTGAGTTTGTGGTGAGCGTCTCCTGGGTGGTGAGTGGTGAGTTTGTGGTGAGGGTCTCCTGGGTGGTGAGTGGTGAGTTTGTGGTGAGCGTCTCCTGAGTGGTGAGTTTGTGGTGAGCTGTTAGTCTATCACGCAGGACAAGAAGGCAAAGGTCCCCCGTGTAGCCTGCAACAGACTTTTGGGGCAAGTGCTGTTAGTGAGCAGCACCTCTGAAGGCCGGCACTGTGGCACACACGGTGGGGAGTGTGGCCAGCACCACACTCGACCGCCTTTGTCTTCCCAATGCCGACGTTTACACACAAAGACAAAGCTCCCCCGTATAGCCTTCAACAAAATGTGGGGGCAGGTGCTGTTAGCGAGCAGCAGCACCTGTGAAGGTCGGCGTTGTGGCGCACGAGGAGGTGGGTGACCAGCACCACGCCCGGCCGCCTTTGTCTCTCTCATCGAGGAACATGCACAATGACCCCGTCAACCGGCCGGCGCACAATCGCCTTACCGCGCGGGGTGGCAACGTGGAACATTGATTTCCTCGGCGCGTGTCGGTCACGAGTCGGTGTGCTGCGAGCGGCAGCAAGGTCGCCGTGGCAGCTTCTCGAGAGGGAAGCGCCATCGAGGAAGGGCTCCGAGTGACGACGGCGTCTGGCGGAGAGGGACGCCGGGCGACTAAATAAATAAATAATGCCCCCGCCCAATGTGAGGTTGAGAGTCCGCGGGATCTGCGGTAAGTGTTGAACAGCGCTGGGTGTGAGTCAAGCTGTGGTGGACACTGAGAGTGGTGGACACTGCCAGTGGTGGACACTGAGAGTGGTGGACACTGCTGGGCGTGAGTCAAGCTGTGTGCCCAGGGTGGACGCTGAGAGTGGTGGATACTACCAGTGGTAGACACTGCCAGTGGTGGACACTGAGAGTGGTGGACACTGCTGGGCGTGAGTCAAGCTGTGTGCCCGTGGTGGACGCTGAGAGTGGTGGACACTGCCAGTGGTGGACACTGCCAGTGGTGGACACTGAGAGTGGTGGACACTGCTGGGTGTGAGTCAAGCCGTGTGCCCGTGGTGGACCCTGAGAGTGGTGGACACTACCAGTGGTGGACGCTGAGAGTGGTGGACACTGCTGGGCGTGAGTCAAGCCGTGTGCCCGTGGTGAACGCTGAGAGTGGTGGACACTACCAGTGGTGGACACTGAGAGTGGTGGACACTGCTGGGTGTGAGTCAAGCCGTGTGCCCGTGGTGAACGCTGAGAGTGGTGGACACTACCAGTGGTGGACGCTGAGAGTGGTGGACACTGCACGTGGTGGACACTGCACCACCATCGTCATCACCCATCTCCTGCTGGCGTTGTTTGTGTAGCGGACGCGGTTCAGGGCTTGTGAGCCGCCCCATGAGCTGATCATTAAACACCTTCAAGTGGACAAACACAAACAAACCAAAACCTCCCTCAATCTCTTAAACAGAGAGCGCGGGGAATGTTGCGCTCTAAGTTTCTTTACCGCGACTTGGCGAGGACTTTAACTGGACTGTGTGGAGTAGTCGTAGTAGTTAGTAATGGCAGTTGTATTTTATTCCGAAGCAGGTCCAGAATTTTACGAAACCCGTAATTCTTGCACCAGACCGCCCCCTGCTGGATCGCACTCACAACAGCACGAGGTCTCCGACACACAGACAAAGATCCCCCGTGTAGCCTTCACAGACCTGTGGGGCAAGTGCTGCTCGGGTGTAGCACCTTTGAAGGCCGGAACGACACACGAGGGAGGGTGGGTGGGTGGTTGCCACCACGCCCGGCCGCCTTTGTCTTCCCATTAATTGCGACGTTTATACACAACACAGCACGTACTAATTTGAGGCTGAGTCGACCAAGGGGAGGCTCAGAACCGGTTCAGATAACCGTCACCGGTGTTGGTGGCCGTGAGCGGGAATGGAATTCGGGCCCCGGGGTTCGTAGCGCAGCGTAGCGCGAACCACTGCGCTACCGCTCACCATAACGTCCCCGATATAGACTTGCAGCGCCACGGTGGCTAGGAGATGTTGACTACCTCGCCTGGTGTGCAGGAGGTCGTGGGTTCCATCCCGACCCTGACGCCTGCTGCTGTATATTTGGAGTTTGTGTTTCTCTCTCTCTCATCATCATCACGGTGGCTATGAGATGTTGACTACCTCGCCTGGTGTACAGGAGGTCGTGGGTTCGATCCCGACCCTGACGCCTGCTGCTGTATATTTGGAGTTTGTGTTTCTCTCTCTCTCATCATCATCACGGTGGCTAGGAGATGTTGACTACCTCGCCTGGTGTGCAGGAGGTCGTGGGTTCGATCCCGACCGTGACGCCTTCTGCTGCTGCATATTTGGAGTTTGCGTCTCTCTCCCCGTGGATGTTTCTCCGGGTCCTCCGTTTTTCCCCTCCACGATTAGAGTCAACGTCAGCCCCACGCGTTCAGAGTGTTTGGCTGCTGCTGTCAATGTCCACGTGGTGAGCCGCCACTTGGTCGGGCAGCCGCCATTCGTGGTGGCCAGGTGGCTTCTGAGAAAAGAGCTGCACGGCTCAGTGGGAATTAGCCTGGTAAAATATTAGTTATATATAAAGTTGAATCTTCATTTTGAAGCTTTCGTGACTGTAGGAATCCATACTCTTTGGTTCTTTCGGTAAAGTCACGTAGGTGATAATAATAAAAATAAAAAAGTGAAAACAACTAAATTAAATCACAATTTAGTTGTTTAAATTTTTTTATTGGTATTTCATTTTATTATTTTCACCACAAAACAAAATTGTGATTTTATTTAGTTGTTTTCACATTTTTATTTTATTTTATTAGTGTGGGGGGGGGTCACTTGTGCTCGTTGTGCGCCGCTCACGATGAGTTGAACGTCACCGACGGGAGACTTCGTGTGGCTCGATGAGCCCTCGGCTGCGATTTCAATCTCAAGGACTCTCACCGACTCCCTGCGCGGTGACGCCATCACGCACGATCCCCGTGCGTGCGTGATGACGTCACCAAACTGGCAACGACGGCGTAATCCACCCGGCTTGTACGAGGTGACGTAAACACGCTCGCTGTGCGTGCGTGATGACGTCACTAAAATAGCATCGGCGGTGTATCCTCCCCCCCCCCCGTTTGTACGCGGTGACGTCAGAACGCTCGCCGTGCGTGATGACGTCACCAAACTGGAATCGACGGCGTTAATACCCCACCTTGTACGCGATGACGCCATCACGCTTACGCGCTTACGTCGCATCGCCATGCGCCCGTCACTTTGCGCTCATTGAAAGTGAATTTAATTTAACTTTTCTTTCATTCGCGTCGAAGCGGACCTAAACGCGAGACTGTCAAACTTCACAATTTTAAGGACAACAACGCACGAGGTGCAGTAAGCTCGTCGCTTATCTACAGCGGGTGATGTTGGATAGGTGCGGGCGGCACACGTCGCGCGCGCGGTGTGAAGGCGGTGCGGTCCTCCGTCGTCGGCCGCTTTGGGCGCCTCGTTCCTGGTTGGCCGGCTAGGCGACGGCGAGGCTCCGTTACGGTGTTAGGCCTCGTGAGCTTCCTATGCGTTTGGTTTGCACAGGAATGGCTGTTCTGTTCAAGTTAGTTGCCAGCGATTAAGGACGCCTTCTAACTGATGCGTGTACGAAACAGCAATTCCCGGTAATAGGCATAACCAGGTAAGAGCTCACTGGGAACAGATTAAAGCGATACAGAATATCCAACACCAGGTGCCAGAGACGAATTGTCCAGGAATGGGCGGAACGTCTTCCCCGAGTGAGTCCGAGTGAGTCCTGGGGCTCGCACGAGTCGGGTGGGAAAGTGTCTCCTCGTTCGAGCGGCTGGCGGCCCTCAGCCGGCCGTGGATTACTGGACGGTGCCCCATTGCTGTGGCAGAGAGCCCCGGGGTCATTCCGTGGATGGATTCAACATCAGCTCTTGTAGATACAACAGTAGCCCATGTAGATACAACAGTAGCTATTGTAGATACAACAGTAGCTCTTGTACAACAGTAGCCCATGTAGATACAACAGTAGCTCTTGTACAACAGTAGCCCATGTAGATACAGCAGTAGCTCTTGTACAACAGTAGCGCATGTAGATACAGCAGTAGCTCTTGTACAACAGTAGCGCATGTAGATACAACAGTAGCTCTTGTACAACAGTAGCCCATGTAGATACAACAGTAGCTATTGTACAACAGCAGCGCATGTAGATACAACAGTAGCTCTTGTACAACAGTAGCCCATGTAGATACAGCAGTAGCTCTTGTACAACAGTAGCCCATGTAGATACAGCAGTAGCTCTTGTACAACAGTAGCGCATGTAGATACAACAGTAGCTCTTGTACAACAGTAGCCCATGTAGATACAGCAGTAGCTCTTGTACAACAGTAGCCCATGTAGATACAACAGTAGCTCTTGTACAACAGTAGCCCATGTAGATACAACAGTAGCTCTTGTACAACAGTAGCCCATGTAGATACAGCAGTAGCCCATGTAGATACAACAGTAGCTCTTGTACAACAGTAGCCCATGTAGATACAACAGTAGCTCTTGTACAACAGTAGCCCATGTAGATACAACAGTAGCCCATGTAGATACAGCAGTAGCTATTGTACAACAGTAGCCCATGTAGATACAACAGTAGCTCTTGTACAATGAGTGGAGGGAACCTCAGGGATGAGAGTTTAGTTAAACTAAACTATTAAACAAAAATTGTTTACCAGTTAAAACCCGCTGCGCTATATAGAGATTGTTTTAAAAGCGACCTGATCACAAATGAGAGCTCAACCAAGTCGCTTTTATCGCGTGGACATTTATTGCAGACGAATACTCCACGCGACCACAAGGAGAGAGAGACACGCAAACTCCAAATAATATACAGCAGCAGCAGGCGTCGTCAGGGTCGGGATTGAACCCATGACCTCCTGCACACCAGGCGAGGTAGTTAACATCTCATAGCCACCGCCGACACTTCACCTGAAGTCTGCCACTTGTAAGCGGCAGCTCGCAAGCGAATCGCCTCCGTCTCTGCAAGCATCTTAGCAGCACTAATTAGCAGAGGTGGGACAAAGTCATTGTTATGCAAGTCCAAGTCGAGTCTGAAGTCATCAAATTCATGACTCGAGTCTGACTCGAGTCCAAGTCACATGACTCGAGTCCACACCTCAGAGGTGGGACAAAGTCATTGTTATGCAAGTCCAAGTCGAGTCTGAAGTCATCAAATTCATGACTCGAGTCTGACTCGAGTCCAAGTCACATGACTCGAGTCCACACCTCAGAGGTGGGACAAAGTCATTGTTATGCAAGTCCAAGTCGAGTCTGAAGTCATCAAATTCATGACTCGAGTCCAAGTCACATGACTCGAGTCCACACCTCTGCTAATTAGGTTCTAGAGGGTGCGAATATTTTATTCCTGGCAACAATACTGACGTTTCAGATTTGAGTGCGTTCAAGGCACATTTGGCTATGATCGTCTGAACGTGTGGTTACCTCGGTATGAGTGCGTTTATTTGATTTGATGTTTAACAAATAGTCCCCTTTAGGCAGTTTCCCGGCTATTTTGCAAGTCAGGAATATGCGATGCAAACCCAGAATTCAGGGGAAACCAACAGTGGTCGTCTGATGGATATACTGGGCCCTGACATGCGAATGCTGAGGTAGAGACAGGAAGTCCAGGTGCAGCTAGACTGGCAGTAAGTGTGCCAAGCTAGGTGCACGTTAGCAAAGAGTACACGATTTTAATATTTAAGGTATTGGCATTAAGTTTAGTGTCACTTGTAGGAATTCGAGAGAATTCGCTCCATATTCGTCAACCTAAGTCCCTTCCACTCTTTTAAGTCTCGTTTATATATTTTCTTGTGTTCACTACGAGCTTTAATTGAGTTGACCTTGGTTTGGGTGTGCAATGTCCTTTTGCGAGCGGGTAATATTTAATTTGTCTTGCTGTTGTCTTGTACAGCGATGGGAGATGCAGTTTTGCCATGAACGACGCTGTATAAAATGTGACCGCTGTATGGTTATTTTTATAGGCTGGGTGGCAAACATTGTCCATCACGAGATTGAAGCTTTGGTCATGAGAAAAGCATGTAATGTCACGGTGGGCCAGGTTGTCATCCCATCGCAGACCCTCCTTGGGTTCAGTTGGTGATGCGGGGGGTGCAGTTTTCTTGACTTTTTTTTGTGTAGGGTTATAATGGGGCTGTGTTTAAGGGTTAGGGCTCGGCACCGTATTACCTAAGACAGCTTTTCTAATCACATGGACCTGCTTGGATCAATATGGATTTTTTAAGCTCACGATACATCACAAGAGCACCTGTCACAATCGACGTTTTTCCAATCGTTTTTGTTTTAATGCTGCAGTGGGTTAATGTCACCCATTTAGCCTCTCAAGAAGCCACTGTTAAAATAATCGATTCTTGAATTAAAATCACAGCCTCCGAATTATGACAACTCATCACATCACTTGGTGGTTTGCGATTGAGGATCTACGACTCTCCCCCAGTCTTCGTTTGACTGTTTTGTTACCGATGGGCCGAGAAGGGCTTATCGTATCACCCAGGGTGTTCACCCGATGACGCTGGATTTCATCTCCAGGGAAACGTACAAATTTAAATGTTTCGAGATTCCTCTCCAACAAGAACACCGGTGGTGGTGCTGCTGCTGTAACAATAAATATATTTGGCACGTTTGCTTCACGCGACACTTTTATTAACCCGTTCCGAGACGTCTGCAAGTTGCAGGGTGTCGGGTCCCGTTCACCGCCAAATCTCGGAACGCGCGAGCGGGTTCAGCGTTAATTTTATTTAGAGAGTCGTAGCGCAGTTGTTTCTAAAGACGTTGTTACTCACCACAGAGAACCGGAGCGGCACGACCTACGCACTCTACGGTAGCTGCCGGCGTCAAACTGCGCCGCGCGTTCTCCCCGCCGTGGCCTCGTACCTCATCGGAACGAAACGCGCCCCTCTCCCTCCTGCCCGGCAGAGCGATGCTGTCGTCGGAGCTGCCGTACCCATCGCCGCGCGCCTTCGAGGCGATGGTCTGCGTGGACACGGCGGCGCTGTCCGAGCTGCCGCGCGCCGACCTGCGCCTGCTGCTGCCGTGCCTCGTGCGCATGGCGCTGTGCGCCGCCGCCGACCAGAGCGTGGCGTGGGCGGCGCGCAAGCGCCACGTGCTGCGCCTGCTGTCGGCCGTGGAGCCCGTGAACGCCGTCGTGGCGCTCCTCTCCGTCGACTTCCACGCGCTCGAGCAGGAGGCGCGCAGGGAGCTGCACGCGCGGTCAGTGACGCAGCGCACGCGCGCGGGAGATTGGGTGCTCACGAACGGCGCTTGCCCCAATGGTGTGTTAAGGCCATCCGGGGGATCTTTGTCTCTACGGGAGCAGGAGGAAGTCGGGGGCAGCGGGGGAGTCGGCGCCGGGGGCCGCGGCGGCGGCGGCGACGGCGGCGCACGGCCTGGCGCTGGAGTTTGAGCACAGCGACCCGACCCGGCGCCTCCACCTGGTGCTCTCCGAGCTCCTGAGCCTCATCACACGCGTGAGGCCCCCTCCCTGCACCCCCTCTCTTGGTCCCCTCCCTGGATCCCCTAAATCCCTTCCCTGTCCCTTGCCTACATCCCCTCCCGACATCGACCCCCTGCATCCCTTCCCTACATGCCCTCCCTCCCTCAATCCCTCATCACTGCCCTGAGCACCTGGCCTGCCACGAGCACCTGGCCTGCCACGAGCACCACGGTGACGTCACCGCCACTCGGCGGCTGCTACTGCTGCTGTTGTGGAGCACCCTTCCCCCGCGCGTTCCGCCCTTCTCTGCAGGCGTCGGGGAACAACGCGGAGGCTTCGGGAGACGGAGCGGGGGGAGCCGCCGGGGGATCGAGCGCAGCGGCGGGGAGGGATGCCTCCTCCTCCTCGTCGTCGTCGTCGTCGTTGTCGCGAGGGTGCGAGCTCTTTGAGTGCGACGTCTACCTCCAGGAGGTGGCGGACGTCCTCTCCATCCTCCTGGCCGGTGAGTCTCCGCACCGCTGTTAGACCAGAGAACACCACGAGGTGAGCAGTGCAAAGGCGATGCAAACGTCAAAGCGTTAATAGCATCGAGTTGGAGCCGTTTTTATGCATGGTAGTGGTGGCGGAAAAAAAGGGTTCCCATGGATAGACAAGTTTGGGTTTTGAAGCTCATTTTTGTCCAACCGAGGTGAGAACCGGAGAGACGGCCAAGATGAAGTCTCATTTGCAGGAAGAGTCAACCAAACAAAAGTTCCACACGGAAATTAAACGAGTTGGAAATCGGCGCGGGAAAAAAAACCCAACTGCGTTTCTCACGCGAGAAGTCGAAAATAATAATTATTCAAATGTATAATGTGCATTCCATCCTCGGGCAACCGACCAAACTAAGGAGGGAAGGCCACTTTAAAGCGATGGGGTTCCAAAGCGGACTTAAATATATCTACCGACTCTGCCTGATTTCAAGTGGCGAGGCGTTCCATAGCGTGGATGCCACGCTAACAAAAGCACGGTCGCCAATAGAGCGCAGCCTAGACCTGGGTGTGCTGAGCAGGCTCAGCACACACAAAGACAAAGACGATCCCCAGTATAGCCTGAACAGACTGTAGGGGCAAGTGCTGTTAGCGAGCACCTATTAAGGCCGGCACGGTACACGAGGGGGTGGGTAGCCAATACCACGCCCAGCCGCCTTTGTCTCCCCAGTGGCGATGTTTACACACCGCACCAGGTACTCATTTGAGACCGAGTCGACCTAGGGGAGGCCCAGGACCGGTGTCACTGGTGTTGGCCGTGAGTGGGAATCGAACTCGGGTTGCGGGGTTCTTAGCGTAGCACGCTAACCGCTACACTGCCGCTCCCCACCATACACACACACACATACACACACACAAATACACACACATACACACACACAAACACACACAAACACACACATACATAAATCCCCTGCAGCACAAGTGGCCTCGGGCAGAACATACGTGTGCCGGTTTACGAGTGCAGTTGCGGCTCCCTGCCCTTTGTGCGTCCACCGCTACCACCACCACCACCACCACAGAGCTGCCCGCGCTGCTGCCCATGGCGGAGGTGGCGGAGGCGCTGCTGCTGGCGCGCCACGGCGCCTGGTTCCTGTGCCTCCTCGTGGCCAACACCCCCGACTGCTTCACTCAGGGTGAGCACGCCCCCCGCGGGGACCCCCCTCGCGGGGACCCCCCTCACGGACCCCCCTCGCGGGGACCCCCCTCACGGACCCCCCTCGCGGGGACCCCCCTCGTGTTTGAGTTACTGATGCGGTGTGTAGTAAACATCGCCACTGGGGAGACAAAGGCGGCCGAGCGTGGTGCTGGCCACCCACCCCCTCGTGTGCCACGGTGCCCGGCCTTCATAGGCGCCGCTGCTCGCTAACGGCTCTTGCCCCAACAGCGTGTGAAGGCTACGCGGGGGGTCTGCGTCTGTGCGCGTGGGCAGTGTGCCGGGGCTTGATTCACGGAGGAGGCTCCCAGGACGACGACAGCCCCAGCGGCCGGCGCCGAGTGGAGGCGCTGCGGCAGCTGTGCCGCATGAAGCCCTCGCAGGCCCTCAACGTGCGCGCCATGGCGGTACGCGCTCCTCGCCCACACACTCGCCCGCACGCTCACCCGTGTACTCACCCACACGCTCACCCACCCGCTCACCCGTGTACTCGCTCGCACGCTCACCCACGCGCTCACCCGTGTACTCACCCACACGCTCATCCGTGTACTCGCTCGTGTACTCACCCACGCGCTCACCCGTGTACTCACCCACACGCTCACCCGTGTACTCGCTCGCACGCTCAACCGTGTACTCACCCACGCGCTCACCCGTCTACTCACCCGTGTACTCACCCACGCGCTCACCCGTGTACTCACCCACGCGCTCACCCGTGTACTCGCTCGCACGCTCACCCGTATACTCGGCCATACGATTCACTCGCCTGCACCCTTGCCTCCACGCTCACCCGCGCGCTCACCCGCGCGCTCACCCGCGCGCTCACCCGCACGCTCACCCGCACGCTCACCCGCACGCCCACCCGCACGCTCGCCCGTACAAGACGCCGAGCCGGCAGCGAGCTGAGTCCGCGGTGGGATCCCCGGCACAGGTGGAGGCCTGCCGGCTGCCCTCCCTCGCCGTGGCCCTGACGCTGGACCAGGCCTCCGAGGGGCCCGGGGCCCCGGAGGGGGTGGGGGCGCGGGGTCCGGGGGACCTGGTGTCGTTCGTCTCGGGCCTGCTTCTGGGCAGCGACGCGCGCGTCCGTAATTGGTTCACCGCGTTCGTGAAGGCCGGGCAGCAGGTGAGCGCGCACGCACGAGGAATCACAATATTCATTTTTTCTACTGGGGGAATCCGAGGAGCCGTCAAGCTCTTTTTCACAGATGTCCAGTGCACCGCCACTTAGTGGCGAATGGCGGTTGTTGTGTATGTATACGTGTGTGTATGTATACGTATGTGTATGTATACGTGTGTGTGTATGTGTGTATGTATACGTGTGTATGTGTTGTGTGGTAAGAAGGACGCTGAAGTCAGTCGTGTAGGGGCTGACGCCAACTCTTTATTTAAGGGCTCGCGCCGAACTCGGGGGAAGGGGTTAACACAGAGTTAGTAACTAATCTCCCCAGGGGAAGGGGTTAACACAGAGTTATTAACTAATCTCCCCAGGGGAAGGGGTTAACACAGAGTTATTAACTAATCTCCCCAGGGGAAGGGTTTAACACAGAGTTAGTAACTAATCTCCCCAGGGGAAGGGGTTAACACAGTGTAATTAACTCATCTCCCCAGGGGAAGGGGTTAACACAGAGTTATTAACTAATCTCCCCAGGGGAAGGGGTTAACACAGTGTAATTAACTCATCTCCCCAGGGGAAGGGGTTAACACAGAGTAACTAATCTCCCCAGGGGAAGGGGTTAACACAGAGTTAGTAACTAATCTCCCTAGGGGAAGGGGTTAACACAGAGTTATTAACTAACTCCCCAGGGGAAGGGGTTAACACAGTGTAATTAACTCATCTCCCCAGGGGAAGGGGTTAACACAGAGTAACTAATCTCCCCAGGGGAAGGGTAGTGGGAGTTCCCTACACCCCACCAGGCTATCAGGCTCTTCCCACAGCACTGACCGAGGGTTCAGCCAACTCGGCCAGCCGGGTAAAGCAGCCCCCCTTTAGCCTGGTTCTCAACCCTCTATCCCGGAGCCCCCCACTCCCCTAGCACTCGCTTTAGCCTGGCTCTCCACGCTCTATCCCGGAGCCCCCCACTCCCCTAGCACTCGCTTTAGCCTGGCTCTCCACGCTCTATCCCGGAGCCCCCCACTCCCCTAGCACTCACTTTAGCCTGGCTCTCCACGCTCTATCCCGGAGCCCCCCACTCCCCTAGCACTCACTTTAGCCTGACTCTCTACCCTCTATCCCGGAGCCCCCCACTCCCCTAGTGGGGAGCGGTAGTGTAGTGGTTAGCGCGCTGCGCTATGAACCTGGCGACCCGGGTTCGATTCCCGCTCACGGCAAACACCAGTGACGATTATCTGAAACGGTCCTGGGCCTCCCCTAGGTCGACTCAGCCTTAAATGAGTACCTGGTGCGGTGTGTAAACATCGCCACTAGGGAGACAAAGGCGGTCGGGCGTGGTGCTGGCCACCCACCCCCTCGTGTACCGTTCCGGCCTTCATAGGTGCTCGCTAACAGCACTTGCCCCTACAGTCTGTTCAGGCTATACGGGGGATCTTTGTCTTGTGTGTATGTATGTGTATGTATACGTGTGTGTGTGAATACGTGTGTGTATACGTGTATACGTGTGTACGTGTGTGTATGCGTGTGTGTGTGTATGTATGTGTGTGTGTATGTATGTGTATGTATACGTGTGTGTGTGAATACGTGTGTGTATACGTGTATACGTGTGTACGTGTGTGTATGCGTGTGTGTGTGTATACGTGTGTAAACGTGTGTATACGTGTGTGTATGTATACGTGTGTGTATATGTACGTGTATGTATGTGTGTGTATACGTGTGTGTGTATGTATGTGTATGTATACGTGTGTCTGTGTATACGTGTGTGTGTGTATTTGCTCTGGCACCTCAGAAGCGCAAGGGTTCCCTGCGAGGCTCCCTCCTCGCCCAGATGAGGCAGCACCTCCTCTCCGAGTTGCACAGCATCCTTCCTCACGGCAACCGTCTCCACGGCGACCGCCCCCACCACGGCGACCGGGACCCAGAGCCGGGGGGAGGAACCCCGAGCGAGGGGGTCGCCGGGGAGGCTGCGATGGAGGTGGACGAGGGGGCGGGGCTGGGGGGCGGGGCCTCTGCCGAGGGGGCGGGGCTGGGGGGCGGGGCCTCTGCCGAGGGGGCGGGGCTGGGGGGCGGGGCCCTGGCGGAGGAGGAGGTGGTGAGGGGCGGGGCTCTGCTGCGTCTCTACTGCGCCCTCATGGGGATCGCTGGGCTCAGGTGTGAACCCCCCCTCCTCCTCCTCGCCCCCCTCCTCCTCCTCGCCCCCCTCCTCCTCCTCCTCCTCGCCCCCCTCCTCCTCCTCCTCGCCCCCCTCCTCCTCCTCCTCCTCGCCCCCCTCCTCTTTCTCCTCCTCGCCCCCCCCCTCCTCCTCCTCGCCCCCCTCCTCCTCGCCCCCCTCCTCCTCCTCCTCGCCCCCCTCCTCCTTCTCCTCCTCGCCCCCCTCCTCCTCGCCCCCCTCCTCCTCCTCGCCCCCCTCCTCCTCGCCCCCCTCCTCCTTCTCCTCCTCGTCCCCCTCCTCCTCGCCCCCCTCCTCCTCCTCCTCCTCGCCCCCCTCCTCCTCGCCCCCCTCCTCCTTCTCCTCCTCGCCCCCCTCCTCCTCGCCCCCCTCCTCCTTCTCCTCCTCGTCCCCCTCCTCCTCGTCCCCCTCCTCCTCCTCCTCCTCGCCCCCCTCCTCCTTCTCCTCCTCGCCCCCCTCCTCCTCGCCCCCCTCCTCCTCCTCGCCCCCCTCCTCGCCCCCCCTCTTCGCCTCCCTCCCTGCCTCCGTGCATTCGCACGTGGGTGTGCACGTGGGTGTGCACGCGCGTGTGCACGTGGGTGTGCACGTGCGTGCACACGTGAGTACACACGTGTGTCCAGGCCGATAGTGCAGCGGTTAGCGCACTGAGCTACGAACCCAGCGACCCGAGTTCGATTCCCGCTCACGGCCACCAACACCGGTGACGATTATCTGAACAAGTGCTGGGCCTCCCCCAAGTCGACTCGGCCTCAACTGAGTACCTGGTGCGGTGTCTCGTAAACATCACCGCTGGGGAGACAAAGGCGGGCGGGTGGGCAGGCGTGGTGCTGGCCACCCCCCGCCCCCTTGTGTGCCATTGCAGCCTTAATAAACTAAACGTTTTGTTTGGCAGATCAGGCCCACCGAGCGATACCGCTTGATTTCAGAAGCGACCTGCCCATGAATGATAGCTCATCGTGGCTTATCATCATCACGTGGAAATGCATAGCAGCCATCTCCTCTAAACGCAGGTAGCTAAGACGTCGCCGCTGCGAGGTGTTCCTCGCTACTCACGGCACTTGCCCCGACAGTCGCTTCAGGCTCCAGGGGGACCTTGTCTGTGTGCAGGCCGAGCGAGGAGGAGGTGTCCCGCCTGCTCGCCCTCATCACGAGCCGCCCCCCGGCCACGGCGGCCGGAGTTCGATTCGTGTCTCTCTCGCTCGCCACGCTGCTCGCATTCACAGCCCTCGTCAGGTGCACGCTGCGCACACTGCCGCACACACGCACACTGCCACACACACACACTGCCGCACACACACACTGCCGCACACACACACTGCCGCACACACACACTGCCGCGCACACACACACTGCCGCACACACACACACTGCCGCACACACACACTGCCGCACACACACACTGCCGCACACACACACTGCCGCACACACATACTGCCGCACACACACACACTGCCGCACACACACGCTGCCTCACACACACACTGCCGCACACACACACTGCCGCACACATACACTGCCGCACACACACACTGCCTCACACACACACTGCTGCACACACACACTGCCGCACACACATACTGCCTCACACACGCCTACGCACTACCGCACACACACTTACGCACACACGCTTGCGAACTCCCTCGCACACGCCTACGCACTACTGCACACACGCCTACGCACTACCGCACACACGCCTACGCACTACCGCACACACGCCTACGCACTACTGCACACGCCTACGCACTGCCATCTGCACTACGCACTACCAAAGATGCCCCGCATAAGGGCGCCATGGTGGCGAGATGTTAACTACCTCGCCTGGTATACAGGAGGTTGGGGGTTCGATCCCGACCCTGACGCCTGCTGCTGTATATTATTTGGAATTTGCATGTCTCTCTCTCTCTTCCCATGGTCGTGTGGATTTTTCTCAGTGTTCCCCCAGTTTTTCCCTCCACATTTATAATCAACAAGTTTATAGTGTTTGTCCGCTGTAACTTTCCACATGATGATAAGCCACTTCGTTGCGCTATCATATGTGGACAGGTCGCTTCTGAAAAAGCGCTACACAGCTCAGTGGGCCTTACCTGGTTACGTGTCGGTGTTTGTCTATTTAGGATTTTGAGACAGGGTAGGAGTGGTTTAGCCAAACACTAAACACATGACGCTGATTTAAAATGTGGAGGGAAAAAAACAAAGTACCCAGAGAAACATCCACGCTGACAACGGGGAGAGAGAGAGAGAGACGCAATCTCCAAATATACAGCAGCAGGGGTCGGGGTCGAACCCACGACCTCCTCCGTTCCAGGCGAGGTCACAATCGAGAATATATTTTTATCCTGGAGGAATCCGATGAGCTATAAAGCTGTCCACCCTCTCTCCACGATGTCTCTCCCCCCCCCCCTTCCCTCTTGCAACCCCTAAACGTGGCCGCCCCTCGATCCCTGCCCACAGCACCCCCCGGCAGGAGCAGATCGCGGTGAGCTGGCTCAACTGGATGATCCGGGAGGAGGCGTACTTTGAGAGGTGCCCCCCCACCTCCCACTCACCACCACCACCGCCGCCGCGGTGTTTGTAACAGCGGTGCGGTGTTTGTAACAGCGGTGCGGTGTTTGTAACAGCGGTGCGGTGTTTGTAACAGCGGTGCGGTGTTTGTAACAGCGGTGCGGTGTTTGTAACAGCGGTGCGGTGTTTGTAACAGCGGTGTTGGTACAGCCAGGCCCACGGCAACCACAGAAGGCAAATGTGCGGTTGGCAAAGTGCAAGGGGGGGGGGGGGGGGGCCCGTGGGAGATCGGGGGCTTGGGGAGCCACGGCCGTGGTCAGACTCGGCGTAGCTTGACTCGGCTGCCCGTGTGGTAACTAAACACATGACAAAGTGCAGTGCCTTGCACAATCGCATGAATAAACATTGCGTTGACGTGACGATGATGGGGGGAAGGGCTGCTTTGAAGGAGGAGGGGCTCAGCCCACCGTCCTGCTGCTCCGGGCCACAGACGCGATTCTGTCACCCTCACCACTCGCCACCACGTTTTGTGGGGCACGATTTGGGGCCAAATTCACCCTTTCCCAGAATCAAAAGAAAAAATAAACACCGAGGGGGGAGGCTTTTGCGACCGGCGTTATCCAATCCTGATTTGAGGCTTTCGTGACTGCAGGAATTCATACTCTTTGGTTCTTTCGGTAAAGTCACGTAGGTAGAAAATTTTATATTTTATTTAATTTTTCTACCTACGTGAATGTACCGAAAGAGCCAAAGAGTAGAGTATTATCCACAATAGAGGTTTTTTGAGTGAGATTGTGTGAATATAAATGTGTCGTTAACCCTGCCCGTGTGAAGGAGAGCTTCATCGCTAATCGGATTCCTCCAGTCTCAATAAATATTCTCATCAGCTGATGCGGTGAGTCTTAAACATCAGCGCTGGGGAGACAAAGGTGGGCGGGCGTGGTGTTGGCCACCCACCCCCTCGTGCGCCGTGCCGGCCTTCATAGGTAGTGCTCGCTAAAAGCACTTGCCCCTACAGTCTGCTAAGGCTACGCGGGGGATCTTTGTGTCTGTGCCTCTGCGTGCGCACACGTAGCAAGTCCGGCGTCGCCGCCTCTTTCGGGGAGGTGCTGCTGCTCGTGGCGATGTATTTCCATAGCAACCAGCTCAACTCCATCGTCGACCTCGTCTGCTCAACCCTGGGCATGAAGGTAAACGAACTCTCAACTTATTCTATTTGTTCACCAGGCAAGGTCCCACTCGGCTATATTTGTTGCCCTCTTTCAGAAGCGACCCGCCGGCCCGCCGGCCTGTTAGCCCCTCGGCACTTGGTCACCGGATCACGTCGCCCCCCCCCCCTCCCGCCCACACAGATCCCCATGAAGCAGAACTCGCTCGCCAAGATGAAGATCATCTTCACGCAAGACGTCTTCACCGAGCAGGTGGCCCGCACCTCCCAAACCCTCCTCACCTCCAAGACCCTCGCCCCCCAAACCCTCACCCCAAGACCCTCGCCCCAAAGCCTCTCCCCAAAGCCTCTCCCTCGCCGTAGCCCAGCTTTGTGGTCCGCTGGCGGCCCACTGGAGCATCCAAGCCACGTCAACCCTCGTGGCGTGACCCCGCAGTGTGACCCTGCACCGTGACCCCTGCACCGTGACCCCCGTAGCGTGACTCCTGCCCCGTGACCCCCGTAGCGTGACCCCCGCCCCGTGATCCCTGCCCCGTGACCCCGCGGCGTGACCCCCGCCCCGTGACCCCCGTAGCGTGACTCCTGCCCCGTGACCCCCGCACCGTGACCCCCGCCCCGTGACCCCTGCCCCGTGACCCCGCGCCGTGACCCCCGTGGCGTGACCCCGCAGGTGGTGACGGCCCACGCCGTGCGTGTGCCCGTCACCCCCGGTCTCAACGCGGCCATGAGCGGCTTCCTGCCGGTGCACTGCACCTACCAGCTGCTGCGTGGCCGGGCCTTCACCAAGCACAAGGTGCCCATCAAGGTGAGGCCCTCGCGCGGCCAGGGAGACGGGCGGCCCCCTAACGGTGGTGGTGGTGCCAGCGGTGGTGCGCACGGTGTGTGTGTGTGTGCTAATACTGGTGTGTGTGTTAGTACTGGTGTGTGTGTGTGTGTGCTAATACTGGTGTGTGAGTGTTCATACTGGTGTGTGTGTGCTAATACTGGTGTGTGTGTTAGTACTGGTGTGTGTATGTGTGCTAATACTGGTGTGTGTGTGTTAGTACTGGTGTGTGTGTGTTAGTACTGGTGTGTGTATGTGTGTGTCTTCATACTGGTGTGTGTTAATAGTGGTGTGTGTGTGTGTGTTAATACTGGTGTGTGTATGTGGTGTTTATACCGGTGTGTGTGTGTGTTTATACTGGTGTGTGTGTGTGTTACTGGTGTATGTGTGTTAATACTGGTGTATGTGTGTGTGTTAATACTGATGTGTGTATGTGTGTGTGTTTATACCGGTGTGTGTGTGTGTGTGTTTATACTGGTGTGTGTGTGTGTTACTGGGGTGTGTTAATATTGGTGTGTGTATATGCGTGTGTATTTTAATAACGGCTGTGTGTGTTAATACTGGTGTGTGTGTTAATACTGGTGTGTGTGTTAATATTGGTGTGTGTATATGCGTGTGTATTTTAATAACGGCTGTGCGTGCGTGTGTGTTCGCGCGTGTGCAGGACTGGATCCTGGCGCAGGTGTGTGAGAGTCGCCTGCCGCTGCACTCGCAGCTCCTGCCGCTGCTGGACGCGTTCATCACCTCGGTGTTCACGCCGGCCTCCAAAGCCAACCCCGAGCTCATCAACCAGCCCATGTCCGAGCACAGCCTGCTCGTAGCCTTCCAGCAGCAGGTGAGAGAGAGAGAGAACGAGTGAGTCGGTGAATGAGGGAGCGAGTGAGAGGGTGAGTGAGTGAGTGAGAGAGCGAGTGAGTCAGTGAATGAGGGAGCGAGTGAGAGGGGAGTGAGAGAGTGAGTGAGTGAGAGAGCGAGTGAATGAGAGAGAGAGCGAGCGAGTGAGCGAGTGAGCGAGTGAGTGAGTGAGAGAGCGAGTGAGTGGGTGAGAGAGCGAGTGAATGAGAGAGCGAGCGAGTGAATGAGAGCGAGCGAGTGAATGAGAGAGCGAGCGAGCGAGAGAGTCGATGAGAGAGCGAGCGAGCGAGTTTGATTCCCCACCCATGTCGGAGCTCAGCCTGCTTGCAGCCTTCCAGCAGCAGGCGAGCGAGTGGGCGGCAGGCGTGCGAGCGTGAGCCGACTTCTGTTCCCCGCCATGGCTAACATGATCAGTGGAATAGCACTGAGCCTCCCCTAAGTTGACTCAGCCTGAAATGAGTTCTTGGTGCGGTGTGTAGACGTCAGCACGGGGAAGACAGATTCCAGCGGGAGCTCGGTATTTAACGGAAGTGCGCGTGTCTGCTGTGAGTTACGGGTGTTGTCTATCAGCAGAGATCTTAGAACTCCCCTAGGTCAACTCGGCCTTAAATGCTTACCTGGTGCAGTGTGGAAACTTCAGCAGTTGGGAGACAAAGGCTGGCCACACCGCGCCATCGCGCTCCGTGCCAACACCAATGGGACGTTCGTAGGCGCTGCTACTCGCTCACGACACTTGCCCCAACAGCCTGTTGAGGCTGGACGGGGGATCTTTGTCAGTGGCGTGTGTTTGTGTGCGGTGGTCTCAGGACGCGAGCGTGTCGGCGCAGCTCCTCATCCTCTACTACATCCTGTCCTACGAAGAGGCCTTCCTCACTCACGCACGCACCCTCGGTACGCACACACGCACTCACTACACACACACACTCACTACACACACACACTCAGTACACACACACGCACCTTCGGTACAGACACACACACTCAGTACACAGACACGCACGTACCCTCGGTACAGACACACACTCACTACACACACACACGCACCCTTGGTACACACGCACGCAGCCTCGGTACACACACACGCAGCCTCGGTACACACACACGCACCCTTGGTACATACGCACGCACGCACCCTCGGTACTCACACACGCTCAGTACACACGCACGCAGCCTCGGTACACACACACGCAGCCTCGGTACACACGCGCTTAGTACACACACACGCACGCACCCTCGGTACACACACACACGCACCCTCGGTACACACGCGCTTAGTACACACACACGCACGCACCCTCGGTACACACACACACGCTCAGTACACACGCTCAGTACACACACACACACATGCTCAGTACACACACATAGTTCACACACACGCTCAGTGCATATACGCTCAGTACACACACACACACATGCTCAGTACACACACACATGCATGAAGATGCGACTGTTAGTGACAGCTGTTAATGGTGACGATGGTAATATTGAGGTTGACACATGAAGATGTGATGATTGATGATGATGATGTTTATGATGATGATGTTGATGATGATGATGATGACGATATTTATGATGATGTTGACGATGTTAATGTCGATGATGTTACTGATAATTTTGACGATGTTGATGATTATGATGTTGACGATGATGATGGTAATGTTGACGATGTTGATGATTATGATGTTGACGATGATGTTTATGATGATGATGACGATGTTGACGATGTTGATGACGATGTTGACGATGTGCATGCAGCCACCCAGGTGCGGAGGCCCAGACCGTACTCGCCGGCCCTCCTCGATCAGATTCCTGTCAAGTTCCTCATTGGCCAAGCCCAACGCCTCCAACAGCAGATCGGAGGTGCCACACACGCAGATCGCAGGCATCACACACAGCAGGCCGCTCTGGTGGACACTGCGGGTGTAGTGTGGACACTGCGGGTGTAGTGTGGACACTGCGGGTGTAGTGTGGACACTGCGGGTGTAGTGTGGACACTGCGGGTGTAGTGTGGACACTGCGGGTGTAGTGTGGACACTGCGGGTGTAGTGTGGACACTGCGGGTGTAGTGTGGACACTGCGGGTGTAGTGTGGACACTGCGGGTGTAGTACCGGGTGTTGACACTGCGGGGCGGGTGTAGTGTGGACACTGCGGGTGTAGTGTGGACACTGCGGGTGTAGTGTGGACACTGCGGGTGTAGTGTGGACACTGCGGTTATGTTCACCAGAGCACCGCAGATGTGCTGGCATCTTGGTCCGACCTTTTAAAACGACGACCTGCCAATCACTCAATCCGCATTCTACATCGCAGCCCGACGAGCGACACCCCACAAGTTTTCCCCCCGGGGGGTTCCCGTCGGCAAAGCGCCGAACAATTCCTTCATTTCCCTTCACGCTCTCTTTCGATCGGCGAGCGCCCTCCGACTCCCGCGGTTCTGCCCCCCCCCTCCCCTTGCCCCGCTAGCGCTGTACCCGTCCCTGCTGCGCCTGGTCGCCACGTCGCAGCCCGACCTGTGCCTGGTGGAGGACTGGCTGCTGGAGGAGGCGGCCGCCGGGACGCAGGCACTGCTGCTGCGCGGCCTCCTGCTGCCTGCACGGCCCGCGACCATCACCCCCGCAGCACTCACCCGCGGTGTGTGTGCGTGTGTGCGTGTGTGTGTGTGCATGTGTGTGTGTGTGTCTGCATGTGTGTCTGCGTGCGTGCGTGCGTGCGTGTGTGTTTGTGTGTGTGTGTGGCCTGGCACAAGCGTCGTGGTGACGTCACCGCCACTTAGTGGCAAATGGCGGTTGTTGTTGTTGTGTGGGGAGTGGTAGTGTAGTAGCGGTTAGCGCGGTGCGCTACGAACCCGGCTACGCGAGTTTGATTCCCGCTCGGTGACGATTATCTGATCCGGTCCTGGGCCTCCCCTAGGTCGACTCAGCCTCAAATGAGTACCCGGTACGGTGTGTAAACATCGTCACTGGGGAGACAAAGGCGGTCGGGTGTGGTGCTGGCCACCCACCCCCTCGTGTGCCGTGCCGGCCTTCGTAGGTGCTCACTAACAGCACTTGCCCCGACAGTCTGTTACAGGCTACACAGGGGATCTTTGTAACATTGTGTACGTTGCATGTGTGCGTATGTGCGTGCGTGTGTGTGTATGCCGCGTGTGTGTGTATGCCGCGTGCGCGTTGTGCGGCGGGGCAGCGTTTGCGCGCCTGCGCTCGTCCCCCTGCGCGCTGGCGCGGGCGCTGGAGCGCCTCTCCCTGGCGCCCACGGAGCAGTTGCTGGCGCTGGCGCCGGCGCTGGCGCGAGGCCTCCGCTGCCTCCTGCCCCCCCGCACCCCCCAGCGCCTCACCCGGCTGGCCGCGCGCATCTGGGCCGCCCTCAACACCGCCACGCCCCGCCGGTGAGGATCGCCGCTCACTCGCTCACTCGCTCACTCGCTCACTCACCGCCACGCCCCGCCGGTGAGGATCGCCGCTCACTCGCTCACCCGCTCACTCACCGCCACGCCCCGCCGGTGAGGATCGCTGCTCACTCGCTCACTCACCGCCACGCCCCGCCGGTGAGGATCGCCGCTCACTCGCTCACCCGCTCACTCACCGCCACGCCCCGCCAGTGAGGATCGCCGCTCACTCGCTCACTCACCGCCACGCCCCGCCGGCGAGGATCGCCGCTCGCTCGCTCGCTCACCGTCACCGCCGCGCCCCCCGTCCCCCCAGGCTGTGGGTGCTCACCGTGAACGCGCTGCAGGCACCCGGCTGCCTCCCGCGGCGCCAGCACACTGAGCTGGACCTCGTGCTCGACCCCCTCATCGTGCTGAGATGCGACGCGCGCGTCTTCCGGTGAGCGCCAACATCGCCCCCCCACGTGGCCCACGCGGGGACGGCAAGCGACGCTAGCGCCGTGACGGGGCGCACGTGCCACGTTGTACTAAAAGTGCTCTAACAACGCAAGACAACGGCTCTGTTGCGTGTCTATAACCCTCCACCACCCGACGTGTCGTTGTGCGTGTCCGTGTATGTGTGCGTGTGTACGTGTGTGCGTATGTACATGTGCGTGTGTGCGTGCGTATGTGTGTGTTGTGTGCGTGCGTCTGTGCGTGTGTGTGTGTGTGCGTGTACATGTACGTGTGTGTACGTGGTACGTGTGTGCGTGTGTGTGTGTGCGTGTGTACGTGTGTACATGTGCGGTGTGTGTACGTGTGTGTACGTGTGCGTGTATGTACGTGTGTGCGTGTGTAAATGTGCGTGTGTACATGTACGGTGTGTGTGTGTGTGTGCCCAGCTGCCCGCCGCTGCTGGAGGTGGTGCTGCGCGTGCTGGCCGGGTCGCTGGCGGCGTCTCGCGCTTTCCTCGCCTCCCAGATGCGCGCCGGCTGGGAGCCCGACGCGCCGTCCCGGGGAGGCCCGCCCGGCGCCCCGCCGGCCCCGCCGGGGGCGGCCCCGCCGGCGGGGCCCCCGGGGGGTCCCGCAACCTCCAGCGCCAACGGAGGCGGCGGCGGAGACGTCACCCGCGAGGAGCTCAAGAACGCCCTGCTCGCCGCACAGGTGGGGTGTGTGTGTGTGTGTGTCACTGTGTGTGTGTGTCACTGTGTGTGTGTGTCACTGTGTGTGTGTGTGTCACTGTGTGTGTCACGTGTGTGTGTGGGGTCACCAGTGTGTGTGTGTGTCACTGTGTGTGTGTGTGGTCACCTGTATGTGTGTGTGTGTGTGACGTCACCTGTGTGTGTGTGTGTGGGGTCAGCTCTGTGTGTGCGCTGAACACATCTTGATAGAGAGAGGACTGCAAAACTGGGGCAATCGTTGGTAGCGCCGGCTCACTGCCTGGCTGCTGCCTTCCTGCCATCGGCGTGAGCAACGACCCCGTCTATAAAACTGAAAGCTCTGATGATATTGTGTCACTGACGAATGATAGTGTCACTGACGAAGGCTACGTGGCGTTGGGGGGGGTCACCTGTGCGTATGCGGAGCAGGACAGCGCCGCCGTTCAGATCCTGCTCGAGATTTGCCTTCCCGAGTTGGATCGCGCGGCCGCCTCCTCCTCGTCGCCGCCGTCGGGCATCTCCACGGACAGCCTCCTGGGGGCCCTGCGCCGCCGGGACCCCTCCGGGGCGTCCACCACGGTTCGCTCGCGACGCCGGCGGCCTCCCCCTGGCGCTGGAACCTAGCGGGCGGCTGCGGGGGGGTGGGGGGGGTTCCTAGTGGGGGGGGGGGGTTCCTAGCGGTCGTGTCGGAGCGCCTGAGGGCGGATGCCGCTTGGATGATCCGGTGTCTGACCCGGGTGGGCGGCCTTTTTTATTTTTTTTTACGAATTCGGTCAAAACGAAATAATAACACGATGTGTAGAGAGCCGCGATGGCACGTCAACGCGGCAGACGGCCCAGGTTGCTTACACCCAGTTTCCGGAGACGAACGGTTCCCTTGCGACGACGGGAGTCGACGTCCGAGCGTGCGCCGCACCGTGCCGGCAGGCACCGTCACCGTTGCGACGAGATTTGGGCGGCGATTCCTCCACGCGTGCCGATGACTCGCCGGGCGGTCTCTCCCGGACCCGGCGAGCCGTCTCGGCTCCCGTGCCGCGTCACGGCCGCCGTCGGACTGTGGGGGCGGCGCGACACGCTCCCTCCCGCACGCGAGCGCTCGTCGGTCGGCCGAGAACATCCTTACGCGTAGAGGACCGCAGAGCTCAGGGTCGGGTGGGGGGGGGGTGGATTTAGCACCGGCTAAACCGCGCGGCTACCATTTTGGCTCCTCTGTGAGTACCCCACGTGCCTCTGAGTCGTCTCTCTCTGTCTGTTGAAGAGCGTCCCCCGATTGGCATCGTTGGCTACGTACGGTGCGACAGAAGTTCAACGTACACACCTGCACAGGAGCGAGGAAATATCCTGTGCGTGGAGACAGCGGGGCGTTACAAAGTCTAAATTGTTGTAACATTGACACCAACAGTGGTGATGGTCATGATGGTAGTGATGACAGTGACGATGGTGCTGTTTACGATGATGATGGTGGCGATGATGGTGACGATGATGGTGACGATGATGGCAACGACGATGGCGATGATGATGGTGTTTATGACGATGGTGGTGATGATGGCGATGATGATGGTGTTTATGACGATGGTGGTGATGATGGTGTTTATGACAATGATGGTGATGATGGTGGTGTTTATGACGATGGTGGTGGTGATGATGGTGTTTATGACGATGGTGGTGATGATGGTGTTTATGACGATGATGGAGATGATGGTGGTGTTTATGACGATGGTGGTGGTGATGATGGCGATGTCATTCCCAGGTCCGCCCGGGGCGACTGTCGCCCGGCCTGGACGCCGAGTGGGGCTCCCTCGACGACGACGACGGTGACGACAACGACAACGACGATGACGACGGGAGCGGTTCCGAGGAGGGGGGTGGGGGCGGCGGGGGAAAGGAGGAGGGGGAGGAGGAGGGGGGGGGCAGCGCAGCGAGGAGCCGGCGGCAGGAGGTGCAGGGCCTCGTCTGCTCCTTCCTGCACCAAATGTTCATCGCCGACCCCAACATCGCCAAACTCGTGCACTTCCAGGTGAGCACCACGCACGCCGCTGCTGCTGCTGATGCTGCTGCTGGTGCCGCCGGTGGTGGTGAGTGGTCTGGAGTGGTGTTGGTGGTGAGTGGTGAGTGTTGTTGGTGTAGATCGGTGTTGGTGGTGAGTGGTGTTGGTGGTGGTGGTGAGTGGTGAGTGGTATCGATGCTGATGCTGCTACTTGTGGCGACCCCCCCCCCCATGCTCCCACTGCTCTCTCATTCTCTCCTTTCTCCATCCTTCCCTCCGTCTCCCCCCCCCCCCCGTGTCTCCCCCTCTCCCCTCCGTGAGCAGGGCTACCCCAGCGAGCTGCTGCACGTCACGGTGGCCGGCATCCCCTCCATGCACATCTGCCTCGACTTCCTGCCCGAGCTGCTGTCCCAGCCGCAGCTGCACAAGCAGCTGTTCGCCCTGCAGCTCGCCGCTCGCCTCAGCCTCCACTTCCCGCTCCCCAAGTCCATGGCCGTCGCACGCCTGGCGCTCGCCTCCATGTCCGCGCTGCTCGGCGGTGGGTGCAGTGGGGGGGGTGGGGGGGTGCAGTGGGGGGGGGTGGGGGGTGCAGTGGGGGGGGTGGGTGCAGTGGAGGGGGTGGGGGGAGTGGGGGGGGTGGGTGCAGTGGGTGGAGTGGGGGGGTGGGTGGAGTGGGGGGGTGGGGGAGTGGGGGGGGTGGAGTGAGGGGGGGGGGGGTGGGGGGAGTGGGGGGTGGGGGGAGTGGGGGGGGTGGGGTGGAGTGGGGGGTGGGTGGAGTGGGGGGGGTGGGTGGAGTGGGGGGGTGGGGGGAGTGGGGGGGTGGGTGGAGTGGGGGGGTGGGGGGGAGTGGGGGGGGTGGGTGCAGTGGGGGGGGTGGGGGAAGTGGGAGGGGTGGAGTGAGGGGGGTGGGGGGAGTGGGGGGGGTGGGGGGAGTGGGGGGGGTGGGGGAAGTGGGAGGGGTGGAGTGAGGGGGGTGGGGGGAGTGGGGGGGTGCATGATCCTTGACCCTGACTTATAATCCCTGACCCTCACCTGTAATCACTAACCTGTAATCCCTGACCTGCAATACCTTACCCTGATTTGTAACCCTGACCTGTAACCCTGACCTGTGACCCCTGACCTGTGACCCCTGACTTGCGTTGCCCCCCCCCGCCCCGCCCCGCAGTGCTGCCGGGCGAGCGCCGTGCGAGCTTCCTGGTGCCGGCGCTGCCGTGCGTGGCGTCGCTGTGCCGCGCCTTCCCCTCGCTCTACGAGGACGCCGTGGCGCTGCTCAGCCAGGCGGGGCACGCCTGTGGCGTCAACGCCCGCGCCCAGCGCCACGCCGTGCCCTCACGCACACGCGGTAATGCACGCAGCCACAACCACCACAACCACCACAACCACCACAACCACCACAACAACCACAACCACAACAACCACAACCACCACAACTCCAGCGCCACGCTGTGCCCTCAGGCGCACGCGGTAACGCACGCAGCCACAACCACAATAACCACCACAACCGCAATAAGGTGTGAAAGATGTTCAACACACATACAGTCACAACAACAACCGCCGGTCGCCACTCAGTGACGGTGACGTCACCGCGCCGCCTGTGCCAGGCTAGGTGTAGGAGGAGGTCATGGGACAGACCCCCCAGGTGCCATGGGGTGACTACTGTGCCAGGCTAGGTGCAGGAGGAGGAGGTCACGTGACAGACCCCCAGGTGCCATGGGGTGACTGCTGTGCCAGGCTAGGTGCAGGAGAAGGAGATCACGTGACAGACCCCCAGGTGGTGCCATGGGGTGACTGAGAGGGCTGGCACCTGTGGTCCCTGTTGTGCACAAACAAAGACAAAGATCCCCCGTGTAGCCTGTAACACACTGTAGGGGCAAGTGCTGTTAGTGAGCACCTATGAAGTCCGGCACGGCACACGAGGGGGTGGGTGGCCAACACCACTCCCGGCCGCCTTTGTCTCCCCAGTGGAGATGTTTACTACACACCGCACCAGGTACTCGTTTGAGGCTGAGTCGACCTAGGGGAGGCCCAGGTCCGGTTCAGATAATCGTCACTGCTGTTGGTGGTCGTGAGCGGGAATCGAACTCGGGTCGCCGGGTTCGTAGCGCAGCGCGCTGACCACTACACCACCGCTCCCCATAACCTTACACATTGCCACTTAAACAGACACGCACGCACACTCATGCACGCACACAGAAACGCACACACACACGCACGCACACTCATGCACGCACACACGCACACACATATATCAAACGGTTATACTCGCCCGCTTCTCCCAACACCTCCTCTCACATTCATCCCCTGCCCGTCGTTCTCCGCGCACTCCCAAGGGCACGTTAAGGGTCCTGCCCATTGGCTAAGTGGTGAAGCCACTTGGTGGAATTGCCTTGGGCCGTGCTTGTGGGAGAGCAGCGCAGCCACAACCCAGAGAGAGACGTGGGGCCCATCCATCTCCCCGCCGCCTCCTCCTCCTCCTGCTCCACACCAGCAGCGGCACACCTCTCCCTGTCTCTCTCTCCCTGTCTCTCCCTGTCTCTCTCTCCCTGTCTCTCTCTCCCTGTCTCTCTCTCCCGGTCTCTCTCTCCCTGTCTCACTCCCTCTCTCTCCCTCTCTCTCTCTCCCTCTCTCTCCCTGTCTCTCCCTCTCTCTCTCTCTCTCCCCGTCTCTCTCTCCCCATCTCTCTCTCCCTGTCTCTCTGCTCAGCCTGCGAGCGTCTGTTCAGGAACTCGAGCACCGTTACACTTTTAAAATCGCGTCTTAAAAAAACTCCGTAACTTAACCCCGACCCACTCCGAGACATCTGCAGTTCGCAGGGTGGGGTGGCGTCCCGTTCACCGCTGAATCTCGGGACGCGCGAGCGGGTCCGGCGTTGGCTTTATTTCGAGACGCGTAGCGGAATCGGCCGTTGTTTAGTGGCGACGTTGCGCTCGCCGCAGAGAACCGTGGCGACACGACCGCCCACACGGTGCGGGAGCCGGCGCCAAACTGCGCCACACGCCGCCCTGCCGCATGGCCTTGTGGGAGCCTCGGTACGTCTTCATACTCGAAGACGTACCAATACGAAGTTATTTTACTTCGTCAACGGAACGGAATCGGAAGAAAAACTTATGTACATACATCGCCTACGTACAAGTACTTGGGCGATGATGTATGTTCAAGTACTTACGCGGTGTACGTAAATACATCAGTACATCGTGTACGAGGAAGGCGTCAGCTTCATGTAAAGCGCATTGAGGTCTTGTGTGAATTGCACTCAGAGAAACACGAATTTATTATTATATTATCATCACAGACAGCCCTGGTCACCTGGGCCTTGGTCCGTGCGTTTGACCTACCCTAACCCAGAGAGTTGACGCACCGCGACATTTACACTTTGAGTACCGTCACGTTTTGCCGATAATTACATCCAGCATCATCAGGCACGTTCTGTTTACGTGGCAAACCTCGTCACGTAAACAAAACGTCGAACTCGGAATTGAAAATGTTGTGGCTTGGCTCTCCAACACACCGGTGTACTGTACTAGTGACGAATTGGCCACGTTCTGTTTACGATACAAGCCTTACTAGTTGGCTGTGTCGGGTGGTGGCGGGTTTAATGACACATTTAGATATTTTCACTCAAAAAACCTTTGTTATGGTTGATATTGGTGGCAAAAGCCTCCTAGGTGTCAAACGACTTACCTGCCTGCCTGCCTCCAAACTGCCTTCCAGACTCACAACCTGGTCCACCGCTTGCATCGAAGTGCTGCTGGCGGCAGCGGTGTTGGGTATAAACGTGGGGACTATTCACCTAAACTATTTAAACTTCATTTTGTTTACCAGGTCAGGGCCCACTGAGCTGTGTAGCTGCTTTTCAGAAGCTACCACCAATGACAGCTCCACGAAGTAGCAGCTCATCACCATCATCACCATCATCATCACCACGTGGACATTGATAGCAGCAGCCAAACACTCTGAATGCCGTGACGTTGATTCTAAATGCGTAGATAAAAACCGGAGGACCCGGAGAAAAATCCACGCGACCACGGTGGGGTAGAGAGACACGCAAACTCCAAATCCACAGCAGCAGCAGCAGGCGTCAGGGTTACCCCCTCAGCGGCGTGAGCGAGCGGTGTCCCCTCTCCGCTGTGTCTGTCCAGGCCTCGACCGGGGGGTGGAGGAGGAGGAGGAAGCGATGGAGGAGGTGGGCGGTGGGGAGGGCTCGGGGCGCGGTTCCGACCTGGCGTCTCTGCTGGAGGCCACCTTCCAGCAGCTGGTGCAGACCGCGCTCATCGGCGGCGGGCAGTGACGGCCGGGAACTCGGAGCGCTTGAGCCGGCGCCGCCGCTCGTGCTGAACGACCCGCGGATGTCGCCGCAGACGAGAACGTCTTGAGAGCGAACCCCGAGACTCGGTGGAGGTTTTGGCGGCGGTGGCAGACGGAGGAGGAAGAGGAGGAGGACCCGCCGTGGTTTTATAAACGCCGGCCGGCCCGAGGACGCTCGGATTAAACGCACAGCGGCAAACGAACTCGGCACGTCGGTTTTTGTTGTTGTTGTTGTTTTTTTTACTGCAAGAAGCGTCGAAATCTGGACATCTCGTGATGGGAGTGGGAAAAAACGTCGGTGATTGGATGCCCGCCCGCACCTCTCTCTCTCCAAAGCACAGTGACATGCCACCCGATTGGACAAGTGGATCTCAAGGCTGATCGCGACAGCAGCAGTGGGATTTCCGATTGGATCGTTCCCTGCCTCTGTCGTTATTTTGCAAACCCTCCGCGTTTTCCATTGGACGGTTCGAGCAGCGAGCGCGTGCGGCGATTGGACGGCAAAAGGTGGCACGTCCTCGTCTGATTGGACGGAAGGGCGAATGGCTGCGACAAAGCAGGAGGGAACAAACCGATGCGGAAACCAGCCACCGTTCCGCCAGCGTCGTGTTTGAGTTCCGAACGTCAGGACCACCGAATCGAACCGCCGACAACGGTGCAGCTCCCTCGCTCGCTCGCTCGCTCCCTCGTGGCGTCGTGGCGCCGTGGCGACGTGGCGTGCCAATCATCACACCGGCACATTTGTACCATGCTGTCCTCTTCTGTTTTTCTGTTCTGAATAATAAATCTGTGGGAACTAAACGGTGCGGCTCGCTCGTTTCTGCGTCCGCGTTGTGAGCTTCATAGCTCATCGGATTCCTCCTGCATAAATAAGTATTCTGATTCTGTATGTATGTTGAACTTCTTTCGCACAGTACGTAGCCAACCGCGCTAATTTGCCGTGCGGAGGAAAGACAACAAACTAAACACCAAAAGCAGTTATAAAGAGATTAGTTTGTCAATATAGATGATTTAAAAGTGCATAGCTCCAGTGGCTTTCTAATATGGGAAGGAAGAGCGTTCCAGACGGCCACAGAAGCGCATCTGAAAGCGCCGTGCGACGATGCGGTGACCACCGTCGATAGCCAGCCAGAAGCTGCCGCCGCTGCTGTTGCTGCTGTTGCTGCTGCTGCTGCGAGGATGAGTGGAGCGTCGTGTGACGGTGGTTTATGCTCCTTGACGAGCGGCTGTTCCGTGAGGCCCAGAGGAGAGACTTTCGCTCTTCCCGCTGCCTCCCGAGGTGGCGTCGCTTGGCTCGGTTCCCATTTCAGAATCTCGGAATTTTTATTTCTTCCGGGAGAAATCCGAGGAGCTGTGAAACTTGCGCAGAGCTCCAATAATTTCCTTATGTGGCCGGTAACGGTGAATTACGCGATGACCGTGCGGAATGAGCAGGGGGGGGGGGGTCTATGGGAATATTTTTTATGTCCAAGCTCGGATTCTAAATATTGGAGGGAAAACCCGGAGGACCCGGAGAAAAATCCACGTGACCACGGAGAGAGAAACGCAAACTCCAAATATACAGCAGCAGCAGGCTTTAGGGTCGGGATCATAATATGATTCTAGACTTGAAGCTTTCGTGACTGCAAGGAATCATATTCTAGGTGTTTTCGGTAAAGTCACGTAGGTAAAACATCAAAATTAATAAAAATAATCTTTATTTTATTTTATTATTTTTATAAATTTTGATGTTTTACCTACGTGACTTTACCGAAAACACCTAAGAATATCATAATATGACTTTGAAACCCCTCGCACACCTACGTATTTCACAAGTAGTACTAATCACATACCTGCATTTCCCATAAATATGCTAAATTCCTCTTGATATGCAAATTATTTTGTCAAGGCGCCCTTCCCCCCTTCCAACCCAGCTTAAATATACGCTGCCAAGCGTGGTGGTGTTTCATTCAGACGCTGTCTCCCCGACAGACCTGGTCTTCACCTGAGGACGGCTGCTTGCGTTGTGGCCGAAACGTCTATTACTTCCCTTCTACGTGACTTTACCGAAAGAACCAAGAAGATGAATCACTTGGCTCCCACATTACGCGGACTTGACCCTGTCAGTTCCCGTCACGGTAATTAGTAACCATGGTCCCGGGGAGCTGCACTGTCCCCCTACATCACTCGGCACGGTCCTTACACGGGTACGGACCGGAGTGGTTCGGTCAGCGCTACGCTGCGAACCCGGCGACCCGAGTTCGATTCCCGCTCACGGCCACCAACACCGGTGACGATCATCTGAATCGGCTCTGGGCCTCTCCTAGGTCGACTCCGCTTCAAATGAATAGCAGCTGCGATGTGTCAACTACGCCACTATAGGGAGACAAAGGCGGCCGGGGGAGGTCTTTGTGTTGGAATCGGAGAGCGAGAGAGGAGGGGGGAGAGTGGAGGTGTGGGGGTCATTGCTGGGTCAGTCGATAAACCTGCCAATGATATCAGCTGCATGGAAATCTCTCCCCCCCCCATTCCTCTCGCTCTCACCCCGTCTCCCTCTCCCCCATCTCCCCCCTCCCCCATCTCCCTCTCCCCCATCTCCCCCCCTCTCCCCATCTCCCTCCCCTCCCCCCATCTCCCCCCCCATCTCCCTCCCTCTCCCCCCCCCCCCATCTCCTTCCCTCTCCCCCCATTCCTCTCCCTCTCCCCCGTCTCCCTCTCCCCCATCTCCCACCTTCCCCATCTCCCCCCCTCTCTCCCCCATCTCCCTCTCCCCCTCTCTATTTCCCTCCCTCTCCCCCCCCATCTCCCTCCCTCTCCCCCCATCTCCCTCCCTCTCCCCCCCCCCCCATCTCCCTCCCTCTCCCCCCATCTCCCTCCCTCTCCCCCCACACCCCCCCCCCTCTCCCCCCATCTCCCTCCCTCTCCCCCCATCTCCCTCCCTCCCTCTCCCCCCATCTCCCTCCCTTTCCCCCCCCCCCATCTCCCTCCCTCTCCCACCATCTCCCTCCCCCCATCTCCCTCCCCCTCCCCCCATCTCCCTCCCTCTCCCCCCATCTCCCTCGCTCCCCATCTCCCTCCCTCTCCCCCCCCATCTCCCTCTCCCCCCATCTCCCTCCCCCCATCTCCCTCCCCCCATCTCCCTCCCCCCATCTCCCTCCCTCTCCCCCATCTCCCCCCCTCCCCCATCTCCCCCCCTCCCCCATCTCTCTCTCCCCCATCTCCCCCCCTCTCCCCATCTCCCCCCCTCCCCCCTCTCCCTCTCCCCCATCTCCCCCCCTCCCCCATCTCCCCCCTCCCCGTCCTTGGCTGCTTCTGCCCCGCGGCACGTGTCGGACGAGCTTCTGGACGCGGCGGCGATTTCAGCTCCATCGCTACCTCGTGATGTGTGTGATGGTAGCTGTGTGTGATGGTAGCTGTGTGTGATGGTAGCTGTGTGTGATGGTGGCTGTGTGTGATGGTGGCTGTGTGTGATGGTGGCTGTGTGTGATGGTAGCTGGGGCTGTGTGTGTGATGGTAGCTGTGTGTGATGGTAGCTGTGTGTGATGGTAGCTGGGGCTGTGTGTGATGGTAGCTGTGTGTGATGGTAGCTGGGGCTGTGTGTGACGGTAGCTGTGTGTGACGGTAGCTGTGTGTGACGGTAGCTGTGTGTGACGGTAGCTGTGTGTGATGGTAGCTGGGGCTGTGTGTGACGGTAGCTGTGTGTGACGGTAGCTGTGTGTGACGGTAGCTGTGTGTGACGGTAGCTGTGTGTGATGGTAGCTGGGGCTGTGTGTGATGGTAGCTGTGTGTGACGGTAGCTGTGTGTGACGGTAGCTGTGTGTGATGGTAGCTGTGTGTGACGGTAGCTGTGTGTGACGGTAGCTGTGTGTGATGGTAGTTGTGTGTGACGATAGCTGTGTGTGATGGTAGCTGGGGCTGTGTGTGATGGTAGCTGTGTGTGACGGTAGCTGTGTGTGACGGTAGCTGTGTGTGACGGTAGCTGTGTGTGACGGTAGCTGTGTGTGACAGTAGCTGGGGCTGTGTGTGATGGTAGCTGTGTGTGACGGTAGCTGTGTGTGACGGTAGCTGGGGCTGTGTGTGATGGTAGCTGTGTGTGATGGTAGCTGTGTGTGACGGTAGCTGTGTGTGATGGTAGCTGTGTGTGATGGTAGCTGGGGCTGTGTGTGATGGTAGCTGTGTGTGACGGTAGCTGTGCGTGACGGTAGCTGTGTGTGATGGTAGCTGTGTGTGACGGTAGCTGTGTGTGATGGTAGCTGTGTGTGACGATAGCTGTGTGTGACGGTAGCTGTGTGTGACGGTAGCTGGGGCTGTGTGTGATGGTAGCTGTGTGTGACGGTAGCTGGGGCTGTGTGTGATGGTAGCTGTGTGTGATGGTAGCTGTGTGACGGTAGCTGTGTGTGACGGTAGCCGGGGCTGTGTGTGATGGTAGCTGTGTGTGACGGTAGCTGTGTGTGACGGTAGCTGGGGCTGTGTGTGATGGTAGCTGTGTGTGACGGTAGCTGTGTGTGATGGTAGCTGGGGCTGTGTGTGATGGTAGCTGTGTGTGATGGTAGCTGTGTGTGATGGTAGCTGGGGCTGTGTGTGATGGTAGCCGTGTGTGACGGTAGCCGTGTGTGACGGTAGCTGTGTGTGATGGTAGCTGTGTGTGATGGTAGCTGGGGCTGTGTGTGATGGTATCTGTGTGTGATGGTAGCTGTGTGTGACGGTAGCTGTGTGTGACGGTAGCTGTGTGTGATGGTAGCTGTGTGTGATGGTAGCTGTGTGTGATGGTAGCTGGGGCTGTGTGTGACGGTAGCTGTGTGTGATGGTAGCTGTGTGTGATGGTAGCTGTGTGTGATGGTAGCTGTGTGTAATGGTAGCTGGGGCTGTGTGTGATGGTAGCTGTGTGTGATGGTGGCTGTGTGTGATGGTAGCTGTGTGTGATGGTAGCTGTGTATAATGGTAGCTGGGGCTGTGTGTGACGGTAGCTGTGTGTGATGGTAGCTGTGTGTGATGGTAGCTGTGTGTAATGGTAGCTGGGGCTGTGTGTGATGGTAGCTGTGTGTGATGGTGGCTGTGTGTGATGGTAGCTGTGTGTGATGGTAGCTGTGTGTGATGGTAGCTGGGGCTGTGTGTGATGGTAGCTGTGTGTGATGGTAGCTGTGGCTGTGTGTGATGGTAGCTGTGTGTGATGGTAGCTGGGGCTGTGTGTGATGGTAGCTGGGGCTGTGTGTGATGGTAGCTGGGGCTGTGTGTGATGGTAGCTGTGTGTGATGGTAGCTGTGTGTGATGGTAGCTGTGTGTGATGGTAGCTGGGGCTGTGTGTGATGGTAGCTGTGTGTGATGGTAGCTGTCTGTGATGGTAGCTGTGTGTGATGGTAGCTGTGTGTGATGGTAGCAGGGGCTACCCACGTGGTCAACGCTGTCGCCCCGTGACCCCCTCTGTGCTCCCCGCGCAGTCACCACGCGTCCCGCCACCGCGGGGCATCAGACGCGCCGGGAGACACAACACGGAGCGGCGTTGGTGGCAGTAGCAGTGGCAGCAGCAGCAGGGTGACAGCAGCAGCAGCAGGGTGACAGCAGCAGCAGTGGCAGCAGCAGCAGCAGCGGCGGCAGCAGCAGCGGTGGTGGTGGTGAGAGGCGTCAGAGCAGCCATCGATCCCCTCCGGCAGCTGCGGCACGAGTCGCTGCCTCGGGCTCGCGAGGAGCGGACGGAGCCGAAGGAGCGAATTTGTGGAGCTGACGAGGGACCTGCGGTGACGTCCTCGAGTCCAGCAGAGACCTCGAGACTCGACAACAACAACAACATCATCAACAACAACATCAACAACAACATCATCAACAACATCGCACACGGGGTCACGAAAAATCGTGAGAAACGTCTTGAAGAATAAGCAAAGGCGTTGGAGACCGGTAAGACGCCTTTATGACTATCGGTGACCTTGAGAATAAGGGAATGTTTTTTTTTAGTAATAAGATTGAAGGCCGTTAAATCTGAGGGGAGATCTTGAGAGCAGGCAGAAGGAGGCACCTGGAAGAGCAGCAGCAGAGAGTTCGAAGGAAGGAAGGACAACATCCGAGTGTCGCTGTCGCCGTTTCAAAATCTGTGGCCCTTTCGAGACCCCGAGACGGGGACTTGGTTGTTGTTGTTGGAGTCACCCGCCGATGTTTCGGTCCACGGAGGTTTTGGTGAAATCCGGACGGGGGAGTGTCCGTCTCAACGCGTCTGTGACAGGCGCAAGCAGCTGATGGCCAAGGAGGTCCCAGCGACTTGGGGAAGTGTTGGGGACCGAGAAGACCCAGAGGATGTGGTGAGAGAGAGGAAGTGTGAGCTGTGAAGGGCGCTACCGAGGCCCGGAGACTGGGCAGGTTCCACGGACCAAGAGGCATCGAGGAGCAGGAAGGGCCGAGAGGGTGCAGGGGACTTCACGGAGCGCCTTGGGAAGCGCCGGAGTTGTAATCCCCGTACCTGGCTACGTACGGCGCGAACGAAGTTCAACGCACACGCGCACACAGCCCCCGTGGTGTTGCGAGCACCCATCCACGCACGTCCGGGGAGGTGAAGGAGACTTGCGGGGGAGGCGATCAGGCACCTGGGAAAGCCTTGAGGGAAGGGCGAGGAAGGCCGGAAAGGAACCCCCGGAGACGAGCAGGTTGGGGGCGCGCAGACGTTCCAGCGGATCGCGTCATCGGGAGAGTGGGTGGATAGCGAAGGCCAGAGGTCAGGAGGGGCCGGGTGAGTAGGAAGAAGGGCCCCGGGAAGGCCCAGGGAGGCCTGGCGGTGGTGGAGCGGCATGGGGGAGTCGCTGGACGTGAAGGCCCTCTGCCTGGCCTTCTTCGACTACAAGACGGAGAAGTTCGTGATCGCGCGCAACAAGAAAGTCGGAGTCCTGTACCGCCTCCTGCAGCTCGGAGTCATTGGCTACCTGCTCGGGTACGCGTGCAGGTGTGTGTGCAGGTGTGTGTGTGCAGGTGTGTGTGTGCAGGTGTGTGTGTGCAGGTGTGTGTGTGCAGGTGTGTGTGTGCAGGTGTGTGTGTGCAGGTGTGTGTGTGCAGGTGTGTGTGTGCAGGTGTGTGTGTGCAGGTGTGTGTGTGCAGGTGTGTGTGTGCAGGTGTGTGTGTGCAGGTGTGTGTGTGCAGGTGTGTGTGTGCAGGTGTGTGCGTGCAGGTGTGTGTGTGCAGGTGTGTGCAGGTGTGTGTGTGCAGGTGTGTGTGTGCGCAGGTGTGTGTGTGTAGGTGTGTGTGTAGGTGTGTGCGTGTGTGTGTGTTCAGGTGTGTGCGTGTGTGCAGGTGTGTGTGTGCAGGTGTGTGGTGCTGGCCACCCACCCCCTCGTGTACCGTTCCGGCCTTCATAGGTGCTCGCTAACAGCACTTGCCCCTACAGTCTGTTCAGGCTATACGGGGGATCTTTGTCTTTGTCTTTTGTGTGTGTGTAGGTGTGTGTGCAGGTGTGTGCAGGTGTGTGTGTGCGTGCAGGTGTGTGCGTAGGTGCAGGTGTGTGTTCAGGTGTGTGTGTGTGCAGGTGTGTGCAGGTGCGTGCGTGCAGGTGTGTGCGTGTGTCGATGTGCATGCGAGGGGTGGGGGAGTGGTAGTGTAACGGTTAGCGCACTGCGTTACGAACCCTATGACCTGAGTAAAATTTCCGCTCACAGCCAACATCAGCGGCGAATATCTGAAACGGTCGTGGAGCCCCCCCTAGGTGTGTTCAGCCTTAAATGAGCGCCTGTTGTGGTGTTTAATCGTGAGCCCTGGGGAGACAAAGGTGGCCGGGCGAGGTGTTGACCGCACACACCCCTCGTGTGCGGTTCCGGGCTTCAAGCGTGCTCCCCAACAGCACTTGCCCCAACAGTCTATTGAAGACTATCCAGGGGATCTTTGTCTTTCGTAGTTTGTGGCGCGCGGTCAGCGAACCCTACAACCCGAGTTCGAATCTCGCTCTCGGCCAACAATCCAAGCTGGTCGCGGGCCCTCCCCTAGATCTACTCAGCCTTAAATAAGTACCTGGTGCGGTGTGTAACCATCAGCACGGGGGGGGGGGGGGGTAGTGGCCACACCTCGTCCCAGGGTGCCGTACCGCCCACCGCTAGCGGCACTTGCCCCCAGCATCCCGTGAAGGCTACACGGGGGATCTTTGCCTGCGTCATCCGGTCCGTGTATGAGTTTAGAATCCCGAGCGCGTCCCACGCGATGCACACACACGTGGGCTGGTGGCCTCGTCTGGCCACGGCCTCGTCTGGGTGGCTGTAATCCACGCCGAGGGGCTCCCGAGATGAATCACGACGACAGGGAATTATTCGGCAGCTCCCAACAAACGGGGATGGCTGAAACTGATCGTTTTCATTCATTCGTGGACTCGAGACTTCTAGAAGAAAAAACGATTCGACGCGTCCCAGGCTCCACCTTCACCTCCCACCGTTCCCGACCAGTGGGTCCGTGAGCTGCCGTGGGGTCTGCGTTGTGCTCTCGCCGTACGAACGTGGAATTTCCACTGGCGGCCCATGCGGGAGGGCCGTGAACGTCATCTGGTTGCTGTTGTTGCAATCTTCGTACGTAGCCACGCATCGGCACGGTTTACGTGACAAACCCTCTGACTAATTGGCTGTGTCGGGTGGTTGTGGGTTAGCGACACATTTACATTGACGGGATCTAACCCAAGAAAACCTTTATTATAGATTATATTATTTGTGGCGCAAAGCCTCCTCCTACAACTACTACGCCTTAATGATGGTCACCAATTCACGGTGTCCAATGAACATGTAACAATGCTGTGTGCAACGCGCGCTTTTGGAGTTTTGATTTTTCGTCGAATATTGTTGCGTTTCGTCTCCCGCAATTTACGAATCCATTCGGAAGTCGTCCGCGACCTCCCCCACCCCACCCCCCTTCGTATTAGAGAACGACCCGCGGAAGGGGATACTACAGAGCTACCTCTGAGATCCCTCCCCCTCCTCCTGCTCCCCCTCCAAGTGACCTCTGCTCCACTCTGCCGCGAGTAGAATGTCGCGCCACGTGACCGCCACACCGATATTTTTAATTCGCAGAGCTGGAGTGCAGCCACATTAAGTGCAGAACCAAACGAAGTGTGTGTCGACTCAGCCTCAAATGAGTACCTGGTCTGATGTGTGAGCATCGCCACTGGGGAGACAAAGGCGGCCGGGCGTGGTGTTAGCCACCCACCCCCTCGTGTGCCGTGCCGGCCTTCGTAGGTGCTCGCTCACAGCACTTGCCCCTACAGTCTGTTCAGGCTATACGGGTGATCTTTGTGTGTGTGGTGAAGTCGTTGCTGATTCATCAGCAGAGTCGGCATGGGTCGAAGCGTCACTCCGGGCACGCCGCCTGGCTGATGGGAGGTGGCAAACAGAACATTATTGATTTGTTTACGTAAACAAATAGATTGACACACAAAACCAAAACGAAGATCCCCCGTGCAGCCTTATTTTACACACCGCACCCAGGTATAATACTGTTCTCATTTGAGGCCGAGCCGACCTAGGGGAAGCCCAAGACCGGTTCAGACAATCGTCACCGGTGTTGGTGGCCGTGAGCGGGAATCGAACTCTGGTCGCCCGGGTTGGCACCGCAGCGCTAACCGCTGCGCCACCGCTCCCCGCCGTGTCCCGCGTGCACGCGATGTGTCGGTGAGTCACGTGATCTGTCGGTGAGTCACGTGCCCCCCCAGTGCGGTGTCAGTGAGCGCGCCTTGGACGAGCTCCGCTCCCCGCTGAGCCCCCCTCCCCCCTCCACACGAAGACAAAGATGCCCCGTGTAGCCTTCACAGACTGTTGGGGCAAGTGCTGTTAGCGAGTAGCAGCGCCTGTGGAGGCTGCCGGCACTGTGGCACACGAGGGGGTGGGTGGTCGGAGCCACGCCCGGCCGCCTTTGTCTCCCCAGCGGCGATGTTTACTACACACCGCACCAGGTACTCATTTAAGGTTGAGTCGAGCTAGGGGAGGCCCAGGACCAATTCAGACAATCGTCACCGGTGTGAAAAACACAGCAAGACATGTTTTTCACACCTGACGATGATTGCTTGTGTTGCAGTCGAAACGACGTGAGAATTGTATTGTTTTATATTTTTATTATTTTATTGTTTCCCTTCTACGTGACTTTACCGAAAGAACCAAGAATATGGATCCCTGCAGTCACGAAAGCTTTAAATCGAAATTTAAGTGGGAGACTATTTGACTTATTGAAGCTACTAACATGACATTTGTTATCACGTTCCATTAAAAGCGATAGTCCCATGTAAGTGTTCACATTGTTTTGAAGCACCCTGAGTATCATGGATAACGGTTAAGTTGGTCGCCCCATTGTAGCGCCGACTCCACTGGACGCATCCCGAGCGCTAAGCGAGGTCTGCCCGTACTGTACTGGATGTGATTGTTCAGCGACGGTGGCGGTCTAAACTCGTCTGTACAGTACGGTACTGTATATGCAGATTTATCTCTTACGCCCCGCCCCCTTTCTCTTGAGGTGGGTGGGGGTCAGTCAGAGTGGACGGGGTCAGTCGAGGTGGGCGGGGTCAGTCAGGGTTGGCGGAGTGGGTGGGGGTCAGTCGGGGTGGGTGGGGGTCAGTCGGTGTGGACGAGTTCAGTCACAGTGGGCGGAGTGGGTGGGGGTCAGTCAGGGTGGGCGGGGTCAGTCAGGGTTGGCGGAGTGGGTGGGGGTCAGTCGGGGTGGGTGGGGGTCGGTCGGAGTGGGTGGTGTCCGTCAGAGTGGGCGGGGGTCAGTCATAGTGGGCGGAGTGGGCGGGGTCAGTCGATGTGGGCGGGGTCAGGCGGAGTGGGCGGGGTCAGTCAGAGTGGGCGGGGTCAGTCAGAGTGGGCGGGGTCAGTCGAGGTGGGCGGGGTCAGTCACAGTGGGCGGAGTGGGCGGGGTCAGTCAGAGTGGGCGGGGTCAGTCAGAGTGGGCGGGGTCAGTCGAGGTGGGCGGGGTCAGTCACAGTGGGCGGAGTGGGCGGGGTCAGTCAGAGTGGGCGGGGTCAGTCAGAGTGGGCGGGGTCAGTCAGAGTGGGCGGGGGTCAGTCGAGGTGGGCGGGGTCAGTCACAGTGGGCGGAGTGGGTGGGGGTCAGTCAGAGTGGGCGGAGTCAGTCGGATTGGGTGGGGGTCAGTCGGGGTGGGCGGGGTCAGTCGGGGTGGGCGGGGTCGGTCAGAGTGGGTGGGGTCAGTCAGAGTGGGCGGGGTCAGTCGGTGTGTACTCCCAACAAGACGATAGGGGAGCAGCAGCAGCAGCAGGAGGATGATGATGATGATGATGCGCATGATGGAGGTGCGACATGAGAGAGTTGTGGGTCGTGGGCGTCTGGCCGCCGCCGCCGCTCTAGGTGGGTGTTCGTGGTGAAGCGCGGCTACCAGGAGTGGGACTCGGCCCTCGAGAGTTCCGTCATCACCAAGCTCAAGGGCGTCACGCTCGTCAACGCCTCCGAGGGGGGCACGCGCGTCTGGGACGTGGCCGACTACGTCATCCCCCCGCAGGTGAGGGCCCACGTCTCCGCGACGTTTCGGGTAATGGCCCTTCCTCATAGCACGTGAAAGAACTCAAAATGCATCTTTGCAATTACTGATAATTTACTAAAACTAAACTATTTTTTGAGGCCCCACTGAGCTACGCAGCTCTTCAGAAGCGACCTGTCACGATTCATAGCTCAACAAAGCAGCGGCTTATCAAGTGGAAATTGCTAGCAGCTGCCAGATGTTCTAAACGCGTGGTGATGTTGATTCTAAATGTAGAGGAAAACCCGGAGGACCCGGAGAAAAATCCACGGGGAGAGAGAGAGAGACACGCAAATTCCAAATACACAGCAGCAGACATCAGGGTGGAATCCACGACCTCCTGCGTACCAGGCAAGGGAGTTAACATTTCCTAGGCGAGGTAGTTAACATATCGCAAATTCCTGTTGATATGCAAATTCCTTTGTCAAGGCTTCCTCCTCCTTTAACCCAGCTTAAATATACGCTGCCAAGCTTGGTGGTGTTCATTCAGACGCTGTCTTTCCGACAGCCCTGTTCTTCACCTGAGGACGGCTGCTTGCGTTGTGGCCGAAACGTCGTGAGAATTGTATTTTATTATGTTTATTTTTATTATTTTATTATTTCCCTTCTACGTGACCTTACCGAAAGAACCAAGAATATCTTCCAGGCATCTCCGTGCATCACTTGCATACAACTAACTCACAGCCACAAGTCGCTTTTATCTTTATATTTTAAACAACGACAGGTAGTATGTTAATTTATATTTTTCTCATTCGGAATTTTCTAATTGTACGTTTGGCTATTAATGCGATGGTGGCACTTACGGAGTGGAACATTTGTGCCAGAAAGGCGTGTGTCCAGACGCCTGCCACTCCGATGCAGCTGTGGACAGGAGGAACACTTTGCATACACGTGATTGACCTGTATTTGACACGTGATTGACACGTGATTGACACGTGACGTTGTCCCCGACTGCCCCTGTCCCCCAGGGAGAGAATGTGTTCTTCGTGGTCACGAACCTCATCGTGACTCCACTGCAAAGACAAAGCAAGTGCCCCGAGGTGAGCGAGCCACCATCAACAGCAGCAGCAGCAGCAGCCGCCGTTCACAACTGACTGGCGGTGACGTCACCACGGCGCTTGTGCCAGGCTAGGTGCTCCCAGGTGCCATGGGTGGACTGGCTGAAATGACTGGCAGATGCACCACCTGTGCTCCTCACTGTGCCGGCGACTGTCTCCAACTGCCCAGCTATTAATTTTAGTTTTTTATCTACGTGACTTTATCGAAAGAACCAAGAATAGCATTACGCATCTGTTTTTTTTTTTAAAACGGAAAATAGGGCAAAAAGTTTCCCAGTTTACCAAAAGCCTCAGCCGAGATCTGCCCTCGGGGGTTTGGGGTTGCGATGTCACGGTTCGCGAGCGCGCCAGTCGCACAGCTGGCAACCCACACGGTTCACGCCGCATTCCTCGACAGAGAAGTTGGGTTCTCAGCTCCATGCGGCGTCCCGCCGTTTCAATACGGGCACAAAAGAAGTGTCTGTCTGTGTTTCTCCCTCGTGATGGGACTTTGTAGGATGAACGTTGGGATGTATAAGGGGCACGTGGTGACCACTAAGGTCTGAGTTGGTCTGTAACAAGGCAGGGAGGGAGGGTGGGCGCTGATGGGGGTTGTCAGCTGCTGGGAGCAGCTCGTCCCGGGCCGCCCCTGGGTGTGGGCGAGTTCCACCTCGAGCAGCATGTAAGCAGGAGGAGGAGGCCCTTCCGGCAGCAGTGACACGAGCAGGTATTTGCAGGGCTGTACCTTTAGCCACCATCAGGCTGTCGCCTGATGAGGCTGCTGGTTGTTGTTGTAAATTACCGTCGAAACGTCACGCTAATCGAATTATAAATGAGGTCGTGGGTTTACTCTACAACACACTGTGCGTGTGCTAATGGGCACGTTTTGTCGACGTGACAAAGCTTCCTAATTGGCTGTGTCGGGTGGTGCCGGGTTTAACGACGCGTTCATATTGACGCGATCTAACCCTCCTAAGACGACTACTGCGAGTTAAAATAGATCACCCCCCCCCAGCCCCCCCAGCCCCCCCCCCCCCAGCCCCCCACACGCCAGACACGTTGAGGAGTCGGTGACACCCCTCGGCCTCATTGGCAGTAATCGGTGTCCCGCGAGCCCTGCCACTTGTCAGCGGCGCGACACCGCGGGACACGGAGCTCGCAACCCGCAGCCGGAGTGGAGTTTCACAGACGCACCACACGCACAGACACCACACACACACAACACACACACACGCACCACACACACACCACACAACACACACACACCACACACACACCACACACACCACACACACACTACACACACACACTACACACACACACACCACACTACACACACACACCACACACACACCACACACACACACACCACACACACCACACACCACACACCACACACACCACACACCACACACACCACACACACACACCACACACACCACACACACACTACACACACACACTACACACACACACCACACACACACCACACACCACACGCACACACACACCACACACACACACCACACACACCACACACACACACACACCACACACACCACACACACACACCACACACACACACCACACACACACCACACACACACGCAACCACACACACATACACCACACACGCACGCACAACACACACACACCACACACACGCACAACACACACACCACACACACACCACACACGCACCACACACGCACAAAACAAGGAAGACAAAGGTCCCCTATATAGCCTTAACAGACTGTTGGGCCAAGTGCTGTTAGCGAGTAGCACCGATGAAGGCCGGAACGGTACCCAAGGGGGTGTGTGGCTAGCACCACGCCCGGCCGCCTTTGTCTCCCCAGTGGCAATGTACTACACACTGCACCAAGTACTCATTTGAGGCCGAGTCGACCTAGGGGAGGCTCAGCACCCGATCAGACCATCGTCACCGATGTTGGTGACCGTGAGCGGAAATCGAACTCGGGTCGCCGAGGTTCGTAGCGCTAACCGCTGCGCCACCACTCCCCATAGCAGACTTAGGTGCAGCAGGCAGAGGTCACCTACAGCCCCGTCCTCTGTGTCCACCGTAAACAACACGGAGAAACACTTTTGTCAACAACACCGCGTTTGGCATTCAACGATTTTAGTAAAAAGGTACACAATCGGTGACATTTCGGGCAATGGGCCTTCTTCACAGCACATAGGCCAGAGAGGTAGAGAGGGTTGCTTTTTGCAGAGCTGCCAACGCAGTATCACCAAAGTAGAGAGTAACACGCACCTGTACTGCACAGCAGAGAGTGACACACCTGTACAGCAATACACACACTTGGCCAGGCATAGGTACGCCCACAACCCGGACAAATGTAGTCTGTATAAAGGAGGGCGGCCTCCATCAAACGCACAACGTGACATTATTAATAATCGTTAATAATTATTGTTATTCGTTATATTATTATTATTGTTGTTGTTGTTGTTTTCACGCCACAATTCCCGCTCGCCACGTCTGGCAGCACCCCAAGATCCCCGGGGCGCTGTGCACCGAGGACAAGGAATGCCCCGCTGGGGAGCCATTCTCCACGGGCAACGGTCGCTCACCTGTACACACACCTGTACACACACCTGTACACACACACACCTGTACACACACCTGTACACACACACCTGTACACACACACCTGTACACACACACACCTGTACACACACACACCTGTACACACACACACCTGTACACACACACCTGTCTACACACCTTCTTCACACTCACACCTGTTCACGCTCACACCTGTTCACGTTCACACCTGTCCACGCTCACACCTGTTCACACTCACACCTGTTCACACTCACACCTGTCCACACTCACACCTGTTCACGCTCACACCTGTCCACACACCTGTTCACACTCACACCTGTTCACGCTCACACCTGTTCACACAGACAGCCGCTCACCTGTCCTCCTCTGCCTGCCAGGTATCAGGACCGGTCGCTGTGTTCCTCACAGCCCGGGCATTCGCACCTGTGAGATCTCAGCCTGGTGCCCTGTGGAGAATGCCACGGCCCCACGGTGAGGGGCACGTCACACACACACACCTACACACCTGTGTGGACACCTGCGTGGACACCTGTGTGAACACCTGTGTGGACACCTGCGTGGACACCTTCACACACAGCGAAGATCCCTGCTAGTAGCGAGTCGCAGCACCTGTGGAGGCCGCCGTCACGACGCACGAGGGGGTGGTGCCCACCAACCACGCCCGGGTTGTCTCTCTCCCCGGTGGCGATGTTTGCACTCCGCACCGGGTAGTCGTTTAAGGCTGAGTCGACCTAGGGGAAGGCCCAGGATGGGTTGAGACGCCCGTCACCTGGCGTTGGCCGCGAGCGAGAACTGACCTCGGGGCAGGGGGGGGGGGGTCTGCGGGGGGCTCGGAGCGCGGCGGAGAAAGCCGCCGCACAGGACAACCACGCGGCTCGGCAGAGGGGTCAGGCGGGGAGCTGCCGCCGGCGGGGTTACCGAGAGGAACCCTCGTGGGGGTTCACTGCCGTTCGCTTCGGGGGCACATTGAGGCGTGAGCGTGGATTGGGGAAAGTATTTAACGGGGTCGGCTGGTTAAACTAAACTTTTTACGCGCTCTAACCAAAAAAAACTGCGTTATGGATCAAAGTAAATAATCAACAATTTTTGTCAGAGAGCGACCTGGCCACCCACAGATGATAGCTCGACAGAGTGCCGTTTCACGGGGGGGGGGGGGGAGGAGACGCGTAGCCCCAGCAGCGAGGAGGTTCTGTGAACTGGTGTGTGGCGACTGCGAGCAAGCGTCGTCCTCCCCGTCGCTCTCTCCGCGTCTGTCCAGGAGGCCGGTGCTCGCCGGGGCTGAGAACTTCACAGTCTTCATCAAGAACACAATCCGGTTCCCCAAGTTTGACTTCAGCAAGTGAGACATTCAACACACGCATATATATATACACGCAAAGACAAAGCTGCCCCAAATAGCCTTAACGGACTGGTGGGGCAAGTGCTGTTAGCGAGTCGCACCTGTGAAAGCCGGAACGGCACACGAGGGGGTGGGTGGCCAGCACCACGCCCGGCCGCCTTTGTCTCCCCAGTGACGATGTTTACTACACACCGCACCAGGTACTCATTTGGGGCTGGGTCGTCCTACGTGTGGATGCACGTACGGTCACTGCATCGCACGCTTTCAGATACGCTTCTGCGGCTGTCTGGAACGCTCTTCACTCCGATATCAGGAAGGCACTTGAGCGGTGCACTTTTAAATCATCATCGAGATTGACAAACTCGTTTCTTTGCAACTGATTTGCGTTCAGTTTGTGCAGCCTTCACGGACTGTTGGGGACAAGCTAGCGACGGCCGGCACGGCACCCTCGATGAGGTGTGGCCAGCACCACGCCCGGCCGCCTTTGTCTCCCCCAGTGTTAATGGTTACCAGGCACTCACGGTACACCGTGTGTGTCCACGTGTGTGTCCACGTGTGTGTGTCCGTGTGTGTCCGCGTGTGTCTCCGTGTCCCCGTGTCCACCCGTGTGTGTCCGTGTGTGTCCGCGTGTGCCTCCGTGTGTCTCCGTGTGTGTCCGCGCGTGTGTCTGCGCGTGCCAGGCGTAACGTGCTGGAGCGCGCCGAGGCGGACTACCTGAAGCGCTGCCGCTACAACGCCACGGCCGCCCCCTACTGCCCCATCTTCCGCCTGGGGCAGCTGGTGCGCGCAGCCAGCGAGGACTTCCACAGCCTCGCCGTGGAGGTGGCGCCCTGCCTGGCAGCACGCCGCGCACACGACTCGCTGCGTGTGCACGCCGTGTACGCCACGTGTGCACACGCCGTGTACGCCACGTGTGCACACGCCGTGTACGCCACGTGTGCACACGCCGTGTACGCCACGTGTGCACACGCCGTGTACGCCACGTGTGCACACGCCGTGTACGCCACGTGTGTACACGGCGTGTACACCACGTACACATAGGGTGCATACTCCACCCCCTCCACTCCCAATGAGTGATGGGGCGCGGTTGTGGAGAGAGTGGAGAGGTTTCTGTACCTGGGCAGTGTGCTTATGACCAGCTCCGGTTTGGCAGTCGATGTCTCACTTCGAATCAGTCGAGCGGCGTTATCTTTTCATTCATCAGCTACATAATGCTGCTGTGTGGAAGCTGCTTGATGCTCCGCAAGAATCTTCGGGTCTTCTTGCCCACAGGTATATCCTTCCTCCTCTACGCTTGCACAACATGGAGCCCTGTAAAGGAACATCTTGGCTGGTTTGAAAGATTCAGGCAAGCCTGCCTACGATCAATCCTGGGTTTAACTAGGCTGGATTGTGTGATGAGTTCACAGATCCTTCACTGATCTGGACAAAGTCCCATCGGTGAGATCCTCCGTTGGCTGGGTCATGTAGCCCACATGCCAAACCACAGCATGCCCAAACAGCTTTTGTTCGGCCGGATATAAAGGGCTAAACGAGCGTGGCATGGGCTAGAGAAGAGATGGAATTATGTGGTAACAGAGGATATGGAGCTGAGTGGACTTGCCAATTACTGGTACCAGCAGTGTCAAGATCGGCCTTTATGGAGGCTCGTGAATGACGCTGCTGGGCAGTTGGAGGCAGTCGCCCTCCAACAACAACGGAGGGCGGAGGAGCGACGCTCACAACAACGAGCGGTGCGCCGGGTGGCTAAAGCACAGCAAGTTGGCACAGTAGGGGGCACAGGTGGTCCATCAGCCAGTCATCTCGGTCATCTCGGTCAGTTGACCCATGGCACCTGGGTCTGCCCCGTGACCTCCTGCCAGCGGGCGTTCGACACTTCACGTGGCCTCAAGGTGCACATGGCCTGGCACAAGCGTCGTGGTGACGTCACCGCCACTTAGTGGCGAATGGCGGTTGTTGTTGTAACACTGTGTGTGTGTGTAATACTGTGTGTGTGTGTAACACTGTGTGTGTGTAATGCTGTGATGCTGTGTCTGTAATGCTGCGTGTGTAGGGTGGCGTTATCGGGGTGCAGATCGAGTGGAGCTGTAACCTGGACCGCCCCGCGAGTGAGTGTCACCCCGTCTACTCGTTCAACCGCCTGGACGCAGCGCGACCCCACCTCAATGCCTCCTCTTCCTCGGGGTACAACTTCAGGTGGGCCCTTCACTCTCACCACCTTCCTTAACCCCTCTCGATAACATTAACCCTCACCGCAACATTGATCTTAACCGTAACATTAACCTCTCACCATAACATTAACCCTCACCGCAACATTGATCTTCACCGTAATATTAACCCTCACCGTAACATTAACCCTCAACGCAACATTGATCTTAACCGTAACATTAACCCTCACCGTAACATGAACCATAACCATACCATTGACCGTAACATTAACCTTCACCGTAATGTTGATCCTAACAGTAACATTCACCCTAACTGCAACATTAACCTTAACCGTAACATCAATCCCGAACTGCAACATTCACCCTAACCCTACCGTAAAAAAATTACGTGAACCCCAACCAACGAACGTTACGCGTTGATTACCACCGCAACCCTTGAACCCGCACCCTTTCGGCCCGAGCAGGTTCGCCAAATACTACCGGCAGGCGGACGGCGGCGAGCAGCGTAAGCTCTTCAAGGTCTACGGCATCCGCTTTGACGTGCTGGTGTTCGGCAAGGTGAGCACACACAGGGGACATGAGACCTCTCTTATTCACTTTTCCCTTTTCGTATCTTAACTTTGCGTGAAGTGGCCTTGAACTTTGTGGCACGAAAGGCGCTCGGCTCTTTAAATAAAGATCGTTCTTATTTTCTCATTATTGTTTGGTCACGAGAATGAGACTCAGCCAGGTGCCAAATCTCAGACTCACTCACCGACCCTTTTGGGGCAGCCAAACAAAGAAACAGTGACTCACTGCGAGACATCGTTAAGGGTTATCCTAGTGATAAACTCATGGTCTCTGTCAGAGAAATGTGGAATTTCCAGCTCTGATTCAGATGGGAGTGCAGCAAAAGCCAGCGATGCACTGTACTTACTCTGCTGCCCGTAACTATGCTCTAAAACTTCACCAACTCCGCTCTGACCAGCATGGTGAAGTATGGTCAACCCCCCCCCCGTCAAGACCCACACGGTGTGTGGCATGGGAATAGCCTCATCCAGAAGTGGATTGACCCTGAGCTGCAAACGAACATACGTAATGAACTAACCATGACCCTTGACCCCTGACCCAGGCAGGCAAGTTCAGCATCGTTCCCACGGCCGTGAACGTGGGATCAGGCCTGGCCCTGCTCGGAGCGGTGAGACACACCCCCCCCCCCCCCCCCCCTTGCTCTCCCTGTCTCTCTCCTCACCCTCACAGCCCCCACACTCTCCCACGTGCTCCCCCTCTCACTCATTCACCCTCGCTCACTCATTCCCCCTCACTCACTCATTCACCCTCACTCACTCATTCCCCCTCACTCACTCATTCCCCCTCACTCACTCATTCACCCTCGCTCACTCATTCCCCCTCACTCACTCATTCACCCTCACTCACTCATTCCCCCTCACTCACTCATTCTCCCTCGCGTTCTGCAATGATTCAATCTGTGCATCATCCATTGTCCTAACCGCTCAGTCACAGGTAACAGCGTTCGCTAAATAGCAGTCTTCCCCTCGCTCCCCCTCCCGCTCTTCCCATCTCATCTCCCCCCTCACATTTTCCTCTCCCTTCGCTCAACCTCCAGCTCCTTGCCAGCCTCTCCCTCTCGTGTCTCTCTCGCTCTCTCACCCCCATCTATTACGTCCCCCTTATCACACATCCTGACTGTACGCGTGAACAGTGGAACGTGTGTGCTACCCACGTGATCCGTGTGTGTGTGACTGCATGGGTTACATGGTTTTTGTTAAGTTCAAGTTGATTTTGTTTCGCCAGGTGTGAGCTCAAGAGGCAAGGACAAAGTCGCACGCGCAAGAGTGTGTGAATGAGTGTGTGAGAGCAGATGGTGCGTGCGTGAACGAGTGGATTAGTGATCAGTTCAGTGAATGAACGTGTGGGTGACTGAGTGGGTAAATGAGTGGGTGAGTGACATGGTGGGTGGGTGAATGAGTGGGTGATTGAGATGGTACATGAGTGGGTTAGTGGGTGGGTGATTGAGATGGTACATGAGTGGGTTAGTGGGTGGGTGAGTGAGTGACTGAGTTGGCGAATGAGTGGGTCAGTGAGTGAACGGGTAGTGAGTGAGATGATTAGCGAGTGAGCGAGTTAGTTTAAGTTTCAAGTTTATTTTGCTTAACCAGATGAACTCAAGAAAACAGGATGAGTCTCAATTGCCAGTGAGCTGGGTTGCATATATCACAAAATAAAAACAAAGTACAGCAATGAAGCACACAGACATCAGTAGAAACACTACATGAGCAATCAAAAATATTGGACAGCCTAAAGCAATATTAAGTCTTTTTTTTACTGTTCGCAGTACTCGTAATAGAGGTTTTTGTGTTAGATTTTCGCGATCTAACCCAAAAACCTCATAGTTAATATTGCTTGCGAAAGCCTCCATATTAAACTGATCACAGTACATTTACAATTAAGATACAGAGACGAGGAACAAATATAATACGTAAACAAACAAGGATATATGATGTCAAGTGCAATTGCAAATGAAGTTAAATCTCTACAACATGTATCTGTGTGTTTGTTACAGGGCGTGGGTGGTTAAGTGTGGTGAGCGCGCTGCGCTACGAACCCCGTGACCCGAATTCGATCCCAGCTCATGGCCAACATTGGTGATGAAAATCTGAACCGATCCTGGGCTTCCCCTAGGTTAACTTAGTATGTAAACATCGACACATGGGAGACAAAGGCGGCTGGGCATGGTGCTGGCCACCCACCTCCTCGTGTTGCCACCAGCCTTACTAGGTGCTCGCTAACAGCACTTGCCCCGGCAGTCAATTAAAATGCTATATGGGGGATCTTTGGATATTGTAACGGTAGTAAGTGGGCGACTTCAGTTCGATTCCTGGCCACGGTTAACATCAGTGGTGAGTGATATCAGAAGCTGGGCATCCCCAAGGTCGACTAAGCCTTCAAATGTAAAGGTTGCCACCTGTCCTGCAGGTAGCAGCGATTGATTTGTACCACCGCTGCTGATGGACCTCAGCGCTGACTGAAGAACGGCGTCCGGGTTTGGTCCACGGTGGACAAAGGGTGGCGACCGCCTACTCATATTCATCGTAATGATGTAAATGTATAAAGCGCCCTTAAACAATCGCTGTCAGGGCGCTCTGCATGGCAAGGCGGAAAATAGTTAACGACAACCAGGAGAAAAAAAAGTGATAAGGACGTTTTAAACATCGATGTTTTTAGTCGAGATTTGAAGATTTGTCTTCTGTCTCGGAAGTCCGGACCTCGAAGGGCAACGAGAGCTCCAGAGTTTAGGTGCCGCAATTGCAAAGACGCCGTCGCCACCCTCCAGGCGTGAGGCCCGGAGCCCGTGGGCCAGTGAGCAAGGCCGAATCTGAAGGTCCTAACGATCTTGTCGCGGTGTGCAACACATCAGCACTGGGGAGACAAAGGCGGTGGGCGGAACCCGCGCTGGTGCGCCGGTCTCGACGGCAGCGCTTCCCCCGACGGTCCGCGTGCGCTGTGGGGGGGGGGGGGGGGGCGATCTTTGTCGTTGTGCCTGTGCCACACAGGGGGCGTTTTTCTGTGACCTGGTGCTGTTGTACCTGAGCAAGCGGAGCCCCTTCTATCGGGAAAAGAAATACGAGGAAGCCAAGTGAGAGAGTGTGTGTGTGTGTGTGGTCTCTGCTTGCGGATAACTATAAACTAAGTGCCCACTAAGTTGTATAGCTCTTCTTCAGAAGTTCCCTGGCTATCGCAAATTATAGCTCAACAAAGTGGCTTATCGCGTGCAAAGTTATAGTGGCCAAATACTCGAGGCGCACGTTGATTCTAAATGTGGAGGGAAGAATGGCAGAACGCAGAGAAAAATCCACGCGGCTGCTATACATTTCCACACGATAAGCCACTTCGTTGAACTTTCATTTGTGGCCAGGTCACCTCTCAAAAGAGCTACATAGATAGCTCAGTGGGCCCTATCTGGTAAAAAAAAATAGTTTAAAATGGTAAATAGAACTTCTGCAACGAGCGGTAAACGCGCTACCTCTGGCCCACGTCACGAACCGATGTAGCACCGGTGCGGTACGGTCTCATAACCCGCACGGCGCGGGGAAGGCCCTCATCCAACAGTGGATTGACAAAAGTGGCTGCACGTGTACTCAAGACACGTCTCTTGTTTTTCTCCGGTGCGCAGGTTTCAGAGAGGAGAGAGCGTGCAGATGGGGATGAAGCGAGACTCTGTCACCATCGCGACCATCATCTGACGGCGGGAGCGCGCGCTCACGCGCACACGGCTGCCCTTCGCCGCCGAGCGACGGTGCCATCATCCGCGACACGTGGGCCAGGCTAGGTGCACTTTGAGGCCGTCACGTGAATGCAGAAGTGTGGAAGGCTAGCTGCAGGCAAGAAGGTCGTGGGACAGACACAGGTATTGTTGTGAGTTAACCGACATAAACGACTGGCAGGCGCACCACCCGTGCTCTGCACTGCGCCAACTTGCTGCAATTTAGGCGCCCGGAATTCCACTCGTTGTTGTGAGCGTCACTCCTCTGCCCTCTGTTGTGGGTGGAGGGCGACTGCGTTGCAGCTGTCCAGTAGCGTCCTTCACGAGCCTCCTCCACAGAGGCCGATCTTGACAACACTGGTACCAGTTATCTACAAATCTAATCAGCTCCACATCCTCATGTACCGCATCAATCCATCTCTTCTCCAGCCCATGCCACCTCGGTTGTTTAACCCCCTCTATCTGGCCAAACAGAAGCTGCTTGGCCATGTGGTGGCTGGGCATGCAGGCTACGTGACCGCGCAAACGCAGCCTCGCCTGTCAGAGGAGCTCACTGATGATGGGGACTGTGACCGGATCTTTCAAAGATCTGTGATGGATCGTAGGCAGGCCAGCCTAATTGTTTAAAACCAGCGCAAATGTTCCTCTAAAGGGCTCCACGTTTCGCAAACATAGCGAAGGGAGGACATAACGTGCATACACACGCGCACACATACATTTATAAAGATATACACATATTAATATACAAAATATCATACAGAAACAAAAACATGTATTGTACATATACACACAAATGATTCCCTGTGTAGCCTTATAGACTGTGCAGACAAGTCGTGTTAGTGAGCACCTATTAAGACCAGCGTGACAAGCAAGGAGGATGGTGAGGCCAGCACCATGCCAGGCCGCCTTTGTCTCTTCGGTGTTGTTGTTTACACACCTCACCAGTTAATCACTCGAGGCCAAGCCAATCTAGGAGGAGACCCAGGACCGGTTCAGATAATTGTCATCGATATTGATCATGAGCAGGAATCGAACTCGGGTCGCCGGGTTCGTAGCGCAGCATGTTAACCACTGCACTACCGTTCCCAAAACAAAGATCCCCGTATAGCCTTAACAGACTATTGGGGCAAGTGCTGTTAGCAAGTAGCAGCGCCTACGAAGCCCGGCACTGTGGCACACGAGGGGGGGCGACCAACACCACGCCCGGCCGCCTTTGTCAAGACCGATTCAGATGATCGTCACCGGTGTTGGCCGTGAGCGGGACTCGAACTCGCGCGTTGCCGGGTTCAGATTCAACTTGCGACCGCAGATGTCTGCGGCGAGTAATTGACAGGTTTACTGGGTTTGTGGCAAGAGTGCAAAGAGTGCTATGACACTACACATGGACGACCCCTTTTTAAATTCACCCTCTCATCTCACGCAGTAACTTATAGCGATAATATATACACATACGTGTGCAGCCTTTGAAAACAACTAATCCGTACTCGCAAGCAGGATAAAGATGAATCTGTTTTTGTATGTTCACGAATGCATGTGTTTTAGAATTACCATGACCGTATTCTCAGGAATATGAGACGCTCCCACAAATGTAAGATGCACCCCAAACTTGTCCACTGTCAATAGAGTTCTAAAGATCTGGAAGTACGTACGTTTAAACATCACGAATAGGAACACAGCTACCGGATTATGAGAGGCACCACCAAACTCTCGCTATAAAAATTCGGGCGAACAAAACGGTGTCTTATTATCCGGAGAACACTGCAAAACTTGAACTCGTATCGCGTCTACGAGCCACTGCCTCTCAAGGCACGCTGTGCAAGAGACGGTGAACAGGGGCGGTCAGAGATCATCCCCAAACTGGGGGCGGCAGAGGAGAGAGCGATTGGAACGTTGGGAGAACGCGACCCTCTCGAGGACATTGGCAAGCAAGGTGATATGTGAGATTAGAGGGATATTTCAGGGATGGTGACGGGGGGGGGGGGTCCAGCGTTAGTTTATTTCAGGACAGGATAAAAAGCTACGCGCGTGTGACATGTTTCATACAGTTAGCTGTAATCAGCAAAGTGCTGTGGAAGCGATACGTAAATCACACTCAGCGATTTCGATTTAAAGCTTTCGTGACTGCAGGGATTCATCTTCTTGGTTCTTTCGGTATAGTCACGTAGAAGGGAAATAATAAACTAATGAAAATAAAACGTAATAAAAAATTCTCACGACGTTTCGGCCACAACACAAGCAGCCGTCCTCAGGTGAAGACAGAGCAGTCTGAAAGACAGCGCTCCAATGAACACTGCTAAGCTTGGCAGCGTATTTTTATCTGGGTGGGAGGAGAAGAGCGCCTTGACAAAGGAGTTTACATATCAACAGAAGAATTTAGCATTGAAGAAACTGTGTTAATGTGAGAGAATTAGCAGGATGTTAAAGTCAGAAATGAACATGTAACTGGGAGATTAGCATGATGTTAATGTGAGGAATTAGCATGTAACTGGTCACGGAAGTGGCTATGTTAAAGTCAGAGTTTGCATATCAACAGAGGCATTTAGTATATTGACGCTAAAGAACTGTTTGTGTTGTGGCCGAAACGTCGTGAGAATTTTTTTGTTTTATTTATATTTTTTTTTTTATTTTTTTTATTTTATTATTTCCCTTCGACGTGACTTTACCGAAAGAACCAAGAAGACATTCCGCGGTGTCACGACGCGCACGGTCTATCCACATACGTCAACTCGACGTACTGCGAAACTTTAAGGGCCACTTTGTCGATACACTTGGGGTCACACGAAGGCCGGAAACGTATAAAGGGCAAGCAGGTAACTTTTATCGTGAAATATCAACATCAATGATCGTTGCGGTGGTGCTAAGATTTACTCTGTTGTACACTGAAGTTACTTGTGCTTCTGTTTTGTGTTGTTCTCTCGCTTAAGCGGCGGGCTGCTGCACCTTGGATATGAGTATGCGGGCCCACAGCAAACTCTGTCGACAATTGACTTGTTCACGTTCTTCTCGCGTTGCACGTGTGCACACGAACACGCGTGAGTGGCCGAATGAGGTCACGCAGCGTTGACAAGGTTGCCCTGTCGAGGTGTACAGATGTTTAATAATAATATAAGTTAATCAAGTGACTTTACCACGGTACATATATACAGGGAGTCGAACCTATTGCCATTCCGCTTTGGTTCGGGTTAACCCAAAACCGAAATGAATATTTAAGGTTTCAGTAGGTTCAAGATAGGCTCATAGGTCTGTACAGATATGTTTCATGAACCCATGCACTTGTAGTACTGCCATCTCTTGCCCAACGTGCATCACACAGTGGCATCACGGAGATTCAACAAATCTCTGCTTTATTCACCGACCCTTTCCTCAGGAGTACCACCACGCTCGCAGCAATTAAAATGCGGCAGTCTATCGCAAGAATATTGTACCGTTTAGCATCATTTACTCTGAAAGAATCCCCTCTCATCGATGTATCTCCTTCTGAGTGAGCTCAAGCCTCCTGTGAATCACGTGTCTTCTGTGTGGCCACCCTCACTCGGAATCCCTCTCCTCACCGGCCCCTGTGGTAAGGGACGCCTCTCCGTGCAAGGACATCGAGGCCCTTGCTGTCGCCTCTTCCCCCCTACCATGTTGCTGGACATCTGCGGAAAAATACCGGAGATTTGTTTAACAACAAATAGAGCTCCACAGCCCATCGGCTTTCTCCAGGATAAATACAGATTCTGATTCCTGACCCTTTGCTCCAGTTTTTTTCATTTCTTCTTCAACCTTTTCCTCTTATTTCCCATTCTTTACCTTTCCCATTCCCTTTGCCATTCCCTTTTAACTTCTTACACGTTACACAGTCCTCCACTCTTCTTCTTTCCCGTGGTTGTGCCTCACTGGTCATCACGCGATCCGCCCCGTTCAGATTGATCATCACCTCATTCTCAAGCGAGAGGCGCTTGTGGTTTTATACGCCGGCAAAACAACCACGTGGCAATCGCCCTCTTGGGTGCCCCTTGACCACTTGGTGGACACTCCACATTCCCTTGGCAGTGTGCACGCGTATTTCCATCGACGAGAAAAGGGCTATGTTGTGAGTGGACGGGGGTGCGGTGATATCTATTGTTGTGCAGTACTTCTATGCTCCCTCGTCTTCGCTCCCTCACCTTCACCAGTGCCACCTGTGATGGTGCAATGGGTTACCACACCGGGACCGGACTTGCAATCACCGAAGGTCGCTGGTTCAATTCAAGTTTCATTTCATTTTAAAGTTTAATTTAATAGGTATAGCCTTGCTGCGGATTTCACACCTGGTGACGATTGCTTGTGTTGCAGTCGAAACGTCGTGAGAATTTTATGGTTGTATATTTTTATTATTTTATTATTTCCCTTCTACGTGACTTTACCGAAAGAACCAAGAATATATTAAAACATCGTGATGTTAAAACATCTTAACAATGTTAAAACATCTTAACAATGTTAAAACATCTTAACAATGTTTTGTTGCCGGAAAAAAGGGGAAAACCTATTATCATATTTAGGTACTGGCAAAGGAGGTCCCATGATGTAATTAAAGTGTAATTTTCCATTTCTTGTAAAGTATTGTAACGTGCCAACTTTAAAATGACATATTTATACGTAATGCGCACTTTGGTTACACAAAAACTCGTACTTCAAGCTGTATAAAAGTTGTGTCGCGATGATAATCATAATAATAAACGTATTTGATGAAAAGGTTGATATCGATTGCCCCTCTGTGAACCATCTTAAATGCTTCGTATTTTCGTTGGTGTTGGGAAAGCCCTTGATCAAGCAGTGGATAGATTATGGCAGCCGATGATGATGCATTGGCGTGTCCATAACTCAACAAATAAAGAATTAACATCGTTGAGAACATGTCATCAAATGCAAGTAGGTAACAAGCAAGACAGTATGGCTCCTTCATAGCTCTCTGTCCCTTACGTGTAATACAAACACCGGGAGGATGCGGACTTCGTGGGGTACGTGGCAATGTGGGTGGCCAGCACCATGTCGCCTTTGTCTCCCTAGTGGCAATGTTTACAAACCACATCAGCTACTTTTTTGAGGTTGAGTCGACCTAGGGGAGGCCCAGGACCGGCTCAGATAATCGTCACTGGTGTTAGTGGCCGTGAGCGGGAATCGAACTCGGGTCACCGGGGCTCGTAGTGCAGCGCGCTGATCGCTACACCATCGCTCCCCCACACGCAGTACACACACAGTACACACTACACAGTACACACTACACAGTACACACATAGTGCACACACAGTACACACTACACAGTACACACTACACAGTACACACGCAGTGCACACACAGTACACACTACACAGTACACACTACACAGTACACACATAGTGCACACACAGTACACACTACACAGTACACACTACACAGTACACACGCAGTGCACACACAGTACACACTACACAGTACGCACATAGTGCACACACAGTACACACATAGTGCACACACAGTACACACTACACAGTACACTCTACACAGTACACACTACACAGTACACACTACACAGTACACACTACACAGTACACACATAGTGCACACACAGTACACACATAGTGCACACACAGTACACACTACACAGTACACTCTACACAGTACACACTACACAGTACACACTACACAGTACACACTACACAGTACACACATAGTGCACACACAGTACACACATAGTGCACACACAGTACACACTACACAGTACACACATAGTGCACACACAGTACACACGCAGTACACACACAGTACACACTACACAGTACGCACACAGTGCACACACAGTACACACATAGTGCACACACAGTACACACTACACAGTACACACTACACAGTACACACAGTGCACACACAGTACACACATAGTGCACACACAGTACACACTAAACAGTACACACGCAGTGCACACTACACAGTGCACACACACAGTACACAATACACACACAGTACACTACACAGTACACACTACACAGTACACACACTACACAGTACACACTACACAGTACACACACTACACAGTGCACACACAGTACACACTACACAGTACACACACAGTACACACTACACAGTACACACTACACAGTACACACTACACAGTACACAGTACACAGTGCACTACACAGTACACACACACAGTACACACAAAGTACACACTACACAGTACACACACAGTGCACACAGTACACACGCAGTATACACACACTACACAGTACACACACAGTACACACACAATGCACAGGACACAGTACACACTACACAGTACACACTACACAGTACACACGCAGTGCACACACAGTACACACTACACAGTACACACACTACACAGTGCACACACAGTGCACACACAGTACACACTACACAGTGCACACACAGTGCACGCACAGTACACACTACACAGTGCACACACAGTGCACGCACAGTACACACTACACAGTGCACACACAGTGCACGCACAGTACACACTACACAGTGCACACACAGTACACACACAGTACACACACACAGTACACTCTACACAGTACACACTACACACTACACAGTACACAATACACACACAGTACACACTACACAGTACACACTACACAGTACACACTACACACACAGTACACTCTACACAGTACACACTACACAGTACACACTACACAGTACACACTACACACACAGTACACTACACAGTACACACTACACAGTACACAATACAGATGTAGGGACGTTGGAGAGAGGGCCGTTATGCATGGCAGCCTATGGGAAAGAAACACAGTGGGCGGGGCTACGTGTGTGCACAGGGAGATGCCCTCTGCGACGTCCGAGCCAGACACCCTGGGGGGGGGCTGGTTCGGCGTTACGATCCCCCGGGGCCCCACCCCTCAAGGAGGGTTGGGTATAAAAAGGGGTCGTTATATGGGCTTAGTCAGTTATGTTATAGTTAAGCTAAGAAGTCGGAAGACGTCGTAGCTAGAGCCCTGGACTCCCCCTGATCGCCGCCCTTATCAGGGCCCCACGGGATCAGGCTCGAGCCAGTGGCGTGGTCCCGTGAACCAGAGCCAGTGCTCTGGGACTCCGGGTACCGAGCCCGATTACCAGTGTCGGGCCAGACAGCCTCCCCTAGCTCTTAGTGGAGGACTCAGGGGATAGGCTATGGATAGCTAGGGGTATTCCCTGAGTTATACGGGTGAGGGGGCCGCTACCCCCTCTAGGGCTGTCCTGTACTGGCAACTTGTTAAATAAATATACGTGTGCCTCAACTCCGTTGTCAAGCGTCCTCGACGGGTACTTCATCTGGCGTCAGAAGTGGTAAAAATGGAAACGCGCCATACAGCTCGGACCAGGGTACCACAAGAGGAGAACGCCGCGGAGATCGCCGAGCCCGAGACAGAGCAACAAGATGGGGTGCAGCCGGAGCCTGGCGCCTTCTCACCGGGACGTCAGCATGGAGAGGGGCCGCAGCCAGATGCACTACGACTGGCTCACGAACGGCTGGCGGAGCTACTTTATGCCGCTGCCGCCACACTGGAAGGCATTACGCGGTTGGGGGCTGGTGGTCCACCGCAGGGCGAGGAGAACCGGCGGCCGGAGCACTTTCTCGCCATTTCAGCGACTTCACAATTTGAATTTCCCGCCATGGACGCCGCGGCTGTTCGGGGCGTGGCCAGCTTAGACATCGGCTCCGACATCGCCGTCGCCGGGGCTGCAGCGTCATCGCAGCCGAAGGATGCGTCATCGCTGCCGCGACAGGCGATGCCATCGGCCAGTCGCGCCGAGGCACCGCCAAAGGGAGGTGAAAGCAACCTGCGGGAGTCCACATCGACCGCTGCGCTTCACCAAAGGCTGCCCCCGCTGAAGGAATTCATCGGTGCGGAGGGTGACTGGGGCGGCTTCCGGCGACGCTTCCTCGCCCATCAGGAGATGGCGCGGTGGTCCGACGAGGAGGCCCTTTGCGCGCTGCCGGCGCTCCTCGATGGGGACGCGCTCGCCGCACTCACGTCGGCGCCAAAAGAGAAGCGGGCTACACTACCAATGGCGCTACAGCTGCTGGCCGGGGTCTATGGACCTTCAGCCGAATGCCGTCAGCAGTTCTACGATCGCAGGCGGGGTGAAAAAGAGTCGCCTCTGGCTTTCCGGACAAGTCTTCTGGCGCTGGCAAAAACAGCCTTTCCCCGCATGGACGACGACGGCGTGGACGCAATGGTCGCGGAGAAGATCCTCCTCTTGGCGGACGACCTCGACATCGTCGTCATCGCACAAGGGGATGCAGAAATGACCTCCCTCCAGGCTGCGCGACTCCTCCACGCCAACCTTCTGCAGCAGCGGCGAAAGGCAAACAGGGCATCGGCTGGGCGTGCGGTGGCTGCAGCCACCCTTCCGTCAGAAGAACTTTATGCCGTCGACCATCGACGGCAACAGACGACGGGGGCGCGGCCGGGTCGGGACGGGCCGAGGCGTTTCGACCGTCCATCGTCTCCATCGGCGCTCCCGCGGTGCTTCAACTGCGGCATCCGGGGCCATGTCGCCTCGGGGTGCCGTTCTCCTCGACAGCGGGGGACGACGCCTCGACAGGACGCCGGCCCTCCTCTTCCTCCTCCCAAGCTCCAGCACCATGATCCGGCGAGTCGCGGCACCTCACATGTTTGGCCAACGCACCCACCTGTCGCACACTCTCGCACCGTAACGAACGGGGGGCCGGTGGGGCGCTGCGATGGACCGGCGCGGATCACTGCGGGGACTCAAATCGAGCCCGAGCGGTGGTCCGTGTTGGCCCATCGCGTGGTGGCCGCGGCGTCGGGATCGTCGGCCGTGGTCGGTTACATTGATGGGGTGGAGGTACGCATCATAGTCGATACAGGGGCATCGGCGACAATTATTTCGGAACTAATTTACAATATTCTACCGGTGCAGAGCCGTCCTTTGCTACCGGTTAATGTCCCTTTCTATGCCGCTAACGGGGGCTCTCTCGGCATCGTGGGACAGATTCGAGCGCAAATTTCTATCGGGGACATCAAATTGTCGGGGCCGATTTTTGTCTCCTCCTCACTGGCAGTTCCGTGCCTGCTGGGGACGGACTTCTTGGGCAGGATGCCAATTCGTATTTTGATCGACCAAGGATGCATTGAGCTTCCGTCGGGGCGACGTATGGCGTTCCTGCCTTCCCCTGTAGCGACTCGGACGGCGTTCGCGACGGTACCGGCGTTCGTCGTAAAAACAGTGCGTGTGCCGCCGGGGGCACAAATGCTGGTACCTCTTAAACTTCGTAGGCCCTTCGCTAAGGGTGTTGGGGATCAGGGTGTTGTGCTGGGGCCGTCTAGGGCCGGGGTTAATGGGCCTCATTTAATTCCGGCCCAGACCATCGTAAGGGGGGACGAGGATCCCTTCATCGCGGTCCTCAATGTCGGGTCGCAGACAGTAGTGGTTCCCCAAGGGACTGTGCTCGCTCACGCGACGCCGGTGCCCTGCGAGGAACCTGCCGTGAACCACATTGACACTGCTGCTCGGACGCACCCGCATTCGGACGGCGATGAAGGGTGGCTCGACGCGCTTTGTGCGGGATCGACGAACCTGTCCAATTTAGAGCGCCAACGGCTTAGATCGCTGCTAAAGGAATTTTCCGACGTTTTCAGTCGGAATAAATACGATTTGGGTTGTACTCACCTGCTGCGTCACCATATTGACACGGGTGACAGCGCGCCTATTCGCCAAAATCCTTTTCGGTTGAGTCCCGCCGAAAAGGACCATGTCAAATCGGCTGTCGATGACATGTTAGCCGCCGA